GGAACAGTCTTTGGAATAGGAAAAGTGGGAGATACGGAAGTCCAAGACTTTAAGCCCATTGCATTTGGATCAGGCGTTTTTGAGGAAAAATTAAAGCTAGAATCTAGTCGCAATCGCGAGCTTATAGGGATTCAAAGAGCTTTGGAGTATTTTAAGGATATTTTATCGGAGGCTGTACCCGTAACGGTAATTTGTGATCACAAAAGTATTTGTAACTATAAGGAAAGTGAAGCGCTTAAAAGATTTCCAGTGACACGAGTCAGAAAAGCCCTTTCAACACTTTTTCAGTACCCAAATTTAGAACTAAGATATGCATCAGCGAAAGATGAAATAATTCAAATATGCGATGGCCTATCCAGAGCAATATCAACTTCCGGGAAAATCGAACAAAGCGAGATAGTAGAGTGGGTGGGAGGAGTCCTCCCAAGTGAAAATCTCAACCATTTCGAAGTTCTTCAGAACTACAAATACAGGCACCTGTCTGAAATAACTCTGGACTTACAAGAATTGAAAAATGCGCAGGACGCTGACACTTTTGGTCAAGAAATTTTTCGTTTGAATAATAACCAGACAAATTGGAATATTGGACCTGATGAATTCCAAGAAGGGGAAGGAGGAGTTTTGATGAGATTTGACCATAGAAAAAATCATTTTTGCTACGTTATTCCGGAAAAACAAGCAAAAGAAATACTCATCACTCTCCATATGTCCTACGGGCATAGCGCGGAAGCCGCGATTTCGAAAAAACTGGAAGTTGATAGAATCTTCATTAACAATAAAATCTACCTGATGCGAGAAATGCGTGCGAATTGCTATCTTTGCGCGTTAAGGCAGAAGCCGCACAGGAGTCAGCCAATAAGACACATGACATTGCCGATTTTTCCTTTTCAGAAATTTAGCTTGGACCTTTTGGTCTTAGATAAAAAATCGGAAACGGCTCCATTTGGAATGTCATTTTTGGACGAATTTTCAGAACATCTCGATATTATGCCAATTTTGGATAAAACGTCGAAATCAGTTATAAAGGCGATGACTATTTTAATTTTCAAATATTCACTTGGTCCGGGAAACTCGATTTTGCGTGACGGAGGACCCGAATTTAGGAGCGACGAGTTTCGCATTTTTCTGAAAAAATATGGGATAAGGCATTCAAAACCAACGGGATACAATCCTACTGCCAACCCAGTTGAAAGGGTGCATAAAATCTTTAGGAGACATTTAGAAGCGTGCCAAAGTTTAGCTGACGAGCTAAACATGAATGATACGGAGAGACTACAGCTAGCTCAAAACAGTTACAACTCGAAGCCAAAGCAAAATTTAGGTTTTAAAGCTCCGGCAGAAATTTTATCGGGACAGCCACAGAATCTTATTGTTCAGGCAGAACATTTAGAGGAGATTCAAAATAATTATGGAGACTTTTCTGAGGAACAGAAAGCGGAGGCGAGAGAAATTTGGGATAAAAATTTATATTTGTTTCAACGGGAGATAGAGTTGACAAATATTAAGCGCGAAATTAAGAGAAAATCTATACTTATCGAGGACACCATAAAAGAAGGTGATGTAGTAATTGTCGTAAATAACAAAACTCTTGGTCATGGGAACGCCAGTACAGGGCCTTATTTGGTTTTAAGGAATAATAACGGGGCCGTAGAGATAGAACATATGGTAAATGAAACCAGGTGCATTAGGAATGAGAAAATGATTCGCAAATTGTTCATGACTGAGAACATGAAAGAGGCTGTGCGCAACCGCGCAGTCCGTCTCAGCGACGACGGAATTTTTATGATCAACGACAAGCCAGCCCCAGCGCCACTCGATCCAAAAACAGATCCCTTCGAACCCGACCAGTCCTCAAATATCCACCAGAGAGCAACTCAAAATTTACAAAACAGAATCGAACCCAGCAATACTCCATCGAGATTTCATAACCCCGGATATGAACGGAACCTTAGGCCGAGGAGAATAATAAATTATCGAGAATGAGGCTTTTTTACCTTTTTCTTATAATAGTAGGTGGACAAACATTTTTTAATAATGATACTAACACATTGACGACGATTTTAGATACTGAAGTTCTAGTAACACTAGATGCAAAAGTTGTAAATATAAATGCCCATTTCGGATTTCCTAAACTAGAAACAAAAAGCCAAGAATTAATGTGTATAAATGATACTCACAGACCAAATTTGAATTTAATTATTGCAGGTAAGATTATGGATAGGTTAAGCGGGAGCATCGGAAACGAAAATGTTTGCCAAGAGAATTATTGTGAAAATTTAGCTGAAAACCACTTGGAAAAACGAGATTCAGTAATTCAGAAATTCGAAAATTTTCTAGGACTCTCGTCTCACTCGAATTTAAAATTGTTGAACAATAATTACATCGATAAAAATCATCATAATCCAGTTAAAAATAGGACCTTATTACCTGGCAAAAGAGTGAGCGATTATGAAATATTTGGCATAATTCAGAGTACTTTTTCAGAAGGCGACGGTGAAATTATTCCTACTGAAAGTTTTGTTAACGTGCTCCAGGATAAGCTGAAATTGACGGTTTCGCCGAAAGTGAACCTGAAATGGGACGAGGCCTTGAAAAATTGGTTATGGGGAAATATTTTGAATCCTTTTGGTGATGGAAAAGAATGCATTATTGGGGCAAATGCAGTTCTAATAGAACTTAAGGGGGTCATCACAGAAATAGGAGTTAATATTGGCATAGGCGCTAGCGAGTTAGAATATTTCAAATCATCAGAAGGACAAGCTTTTATGGAAAATAATTTTAAAATAAGAATTGCGCTTTTTATGGTTGATGAAAATAATCTTGAGAAAATCAAAAGAAAGGAGAGTTATAACCTAATGGGAAATTTTTGTAAAATAACAATTTATAACTATTTGGCCATTACATGCTCAGACCCACTTAAGGGAGAAAACGTACCAATTACAATGAGATCATTTCTAGTGGTTTCATTTGATACAACCGAAGAAGGATGCACCAAAATAACGGAAACATTGGAAGGCAAGCAAATTGCGCCACCAAACGTATCGGCAAGATTGTTTCTGAAATCGAGAAAACGACGTCAGATAGGTATAGCACTTGCTGGAGCCGCTGCGGGGACCGGGTTAGGATACATCTTACATAAAATGTACGAAGGTGTTACGTCCAGAGGCGAGAAAAGAAATTCTTTAGTCGATCTATCGGATAATGACATTCAGAAAATTAAAGACCTAGAAATAGCTAACGGAAGGGAAATTCTCAAGCTTGAGACAAGTTTTTGCGAAAGCCATAGAAATCGAGTCCATTTATTTTACGATCAAATTGCAGAAAATATGGTAGATAAGTATGTGGACACCCTTAATTTAGTTATCTCGAAAATGGATTTTAGACTGAAGGAATTATTTGTTAGACATTGCGAAGCTTTAAATCCAAAAATGAGCCCCAAAAACTGCTTAAAAATATTTAGCAAAGACCGTATCTAATATTGCTTCATTCTTCGAAAAGGACCCAAAGCTCTTCAAGTACTTTTTTGACAAATCGGATACAGTCCATTTATCGCACCTAGGCATACGTAAGCTTGAAGACCTTTTGCTCCTTATTATAACAAAAGAATATAATATCTATTTTCCAAGCACTAACAAACAACTTCTACTTTCCTGGACTCAAAGGAGGAAACAATCTAGTAAAAATAAAATTATAAGATTTAAAATAACCTCCACAAACGAGTACAGAAATGTAAGAGACGGATTTGTTGGAAAATAGAAACGCTGTAAATTATAAAATAAAAATATGAGAATTTTCGTATTCTCCAACAAAAAAAAATAATATAAAACAAAAAAGAGGAGGACACCTCCCGAGAAAAAAGAAAATTTTTTTTTGTACATTTTATTGAAATTGTGCTCGATTACTTAGCTGCCCCTGACATTTTTTGTGTAAAGAAATGATTTTTCTGTAAATAGATGCTCTATAATACTATCATACAAAAGAGGAGGAATCCTCCCACATAAAAATTACAAAATTTAAAACTTCATTGAACAAAAAAAAATATTCAAAAACTACAAAAAGATCGACAAAATGGTCGCAAAAATATCTACTGTATAATTTATAAGACTGAAAATTTTTAAGCAAACTTTATTGCTGTATTTTTATAAATTTTAACTGCTCTTCATTTACGCTCAATTTCTATGGTTCACACCAAAATTTTTATTGAAAAATTGTATTTTCTGATTTGTTCATAATTATTTTTGACGTATTATTTAAACTTAGTTTAAATATTTTTTCTGCAAAACTAACAGAATTTTTTTTCTTTGGAGGGAGGAGAAGGTAAACCAAACAAAATTTTCAAAGCTCAACGAACGAACTATCCAACAAACCCAGAATTGATTGCTCAAGCCACAAGAACAGTGTTTCAAAAGAACTAGAAGGGGGTTGGATAGAGAATGAACAATTACGATCCAAAAATGGCGCGCAGGCGCTAGTGAGCAGGACGCTCACCGACGAAGACTAAGCGACGAAAATGATAACTTCACTCACTCCACCCAACTGTTCAAGAGATATTAACATTAAATAAATCAAGTGTAAATTTACTAGGTGGATTCATTCTTATAAATTAGCAAGTATATCAGCAAGTCAGACACCTGTTAGCCGCCGGCCCATACCAGTCAATAGTAGCTTTAGAAGCAGTCTTTGCCAGCATAGTCTATCAGGGATAACCTGTTTAGTCTCTACCCGTCGCCGCCGTAGTTTTGCCAGCTCGTTTGATGTCGGATCGTCCATCCAGCTTCCGACACTTCTAAATTTTCGAAAATGAACTTTATTTTGGATGAAAATCGCGGCGAAACAAAAATCAAAAAAATTAAAAATGCGATTTTAACCAATTCCTTCAAATTGAAGTGTCTCATTCCCAAGTTAACTGTACGCAACACTTGTCGAACTGCATCCTCAGAGTGATGTTCACGAACATATTCGGAATCACGGCCAAAGTAAAATCCAAATCCATCGCGTACTGTTCCGAACATTTGACTTTGAATAGTCGCCTCCAAAATGTGAACTTTTTCTTGAAGCGCAGAGATTTCGACTTGAGCGTTTTCCATGTTCTTCTTGTTTTCGCCAACGATTATCTGAATCTGTTTGATGAGATGTTCGTTGATCAATTCTTTTGTTTCGAGTCGATTTAGGCCAAAAGAAAGATTTTCTGGTTTAATTTGATTCTTGAGCTGCTCGACCAAACTCCACAAAACAGGCTGCCTCATCAGTGCAGTTACGCTTTCGACTCGCTCGCCAACTTCGACAACCAAGCATTGCTTGATCAAAGTTTCCATAACCGGGAACGCGACCTCAGCAGGATTTCGAATGTTTTGGGCGATGTTCATCATTGTCTGGAAGCTACTGTCCGCTGCAAATGGATTCCTATCAGCAGTTTTTAATTGGAAAAATATAATTTAGTTATATTGTTAAAAATACTTGAATCTCAATCAATTATTAAAATTAAATGTAGAAACTATTCCTGAAGGTACAAAGCATTTGCATAACCACTCCATACGACCAAATGTCCCGCCTGAAGGACAGTTCTTCTTTTTCCTGATTTTTGACCGTTTCTGGAGGGTAATAATCGACGGTTCCGGCGACGCCAGTGTTGATCGTCGATTCGACGGTGCGGGAAATGTTGAAATCGGCAAGTTTCGCCTTGATTTTTTAGATCTGCGTTGTTACGAAATAAATGCTTACAGTTTTCTTGTCGGCGGAAAGAAGGACGTTTTCGGGCTTGACATCTCGGTGGACGACGTTTTGGTTATGGACGTAGTCTAATAGACGGTTGAGGTTATTGCTTCAATAATAAATACAATAATAAATAGTCTAAACTACTCCCGGGGGTCCTAGCAAGGCTAGGCTGCTTTTGATTTTGGGGCCGGTGGTACGATTCCTACCAAAATGCTCTCAGCGAGTGCCCATCGCTGCTATTTGATCTTAGCGCAGTGATGAGAGCTCGCTGAAGGCGTTGTGGTAGGTATTGATCTTTAAAAGCAGCCTACCCTTGTTGGGAACCCCTGGAATAGTTCATAAATAGGAAGATACCTAGAGCGACCGCGAGTTGAGCCGTAATTCGAAGAGCTTCATTTTCATCCCAGGGCTCTTCAGTCTCTTTTCCCTTTACAAATTAAGCTGAGGACGTGTCATTTCTCTATATACTTTACCATTGAGAAGTTTTTCCTTCAGATATTCGGACAAATCGCCGCCTTGAAGGTATTCCAGAATCAGCGCGTGGTACTCCAGATTTTTCGGACCAGTAAAAGTAAAATCATCTAGAAGCTTGACGACGTAGTCGTTGTCTTTTCATAGGGTATTGAAATGAACGAGGAGAGGTCATCTTTTATTGTAACGTCAAAAAAGAACCCCATTCCTAGTTTCTGGAGCAGCGCAACTTCCGATTTCGCGTCTTCTTCTTGCTTGTCGCTGACAAGCCCGATTCCCTTCAGCATTTTCAACTCGTTGTCTAAATACCGTTACGTAACCTTCCCTTCCTGATTCGCCCTCTTACCGTTTTGGGTATCCTCGACGACGTAGTAAATCTTCCCATCTCTGGGCTCTTTCAATTCTCTGATCGCCTTGTAACGATCGTTGATGATTTTTCCTTCCATAATCGGCAAGTCGCGGAAATCGAGATTCTGCTGAATGAGAATCACAAAATTTGAAGCGATGCAGCGGGGCCGGCTTACTATTTGCAAATGTCGCCTTCTCAAATTCTGCAAATATTGCTGAGAACGAGGTCCACCACCGCGCATCCACTTTATTTGATCTCTCTATTTACAGGGCTTCGAGGAAATAGGTCAGGGATTCTTAAGTTAAGATTGCTATACCCTTAACCAGTCCGTTTCATTTCACTTCGAATTCTCGAGTCAAAAAGTCATAAATTCAAATTCGAAAAGAACATCTTCAAAAACTCTTTTTTTTCTTAGTAAAAAGAACAATTCGTAAAGACAACCTGTGTAGAAAACCTGAGTCAGGGCTCCGAAAAAGCGTTGTATTTTTTAAAAAACAAAGCTGCAAATTTCAGGTCAAAAAAAATTTCAAATGATAATTTTGAAAATGAAGTAGCTTCGTTTGCAAGAATTTTTAGATCCTGACTCAGGTTTTCTACACAGGTTTCCGAGCGAAGCCCCTTTGACAAAAATCTGGCGAAATCATTTTCGCGATTATTTTTTTTCTCGCCCGATTGTGTTTTTATTAAAAAAAAAGAAGTCCTGAAATAGAAAACGTAATATTTTGGCGCTTGGCTGTCAGCTCCGGTGTTGTGTTGCCGGATTGATGCGTTTTTTTCGCGCGCTGCTTTCTAATCAAGCCAGCCGTGTAAAATTATAAGTTGCACGTGTCCCAGGTTCACACAAGAGCTCCTTGCCACTATTTGATCTTCCAAGAGTCTGACGAGCGCGATTTCATAAAAAATCAAAACAAACTTTGCTTCAGAGCTCGAGCGCGCAGTTAGATCCCAGTTGGATCAGCTAATCATTAGTCAAAGCTTGTACAAGGGCCTTGATATTACTGTATTCATCGAAACGAATTTTTCAAGGAAATTTCAATTTTCGAGTCGATTTTCGGCGTAGCGGCGCGAATTAACAAGAAAAATGCAACAAATAAATGTAATTTTTGAATCAAAAATTTTTTAATTATTGATGATTGGCCTACAAATTGATCGAAATTCGGTCAAAATTGCTAGACCCCAGATCGATGACATCCTTATTGAAGTGTATCAGTAATGTAAGATTTTCATTATAACTCCGTTATAATTTGAAAAAAATAATAAATGATTCAGTTTTCTGTATTTTTATGCCGAACCCTAACTATAATTTATAGTCTATAAACAAGAGTCCTTAGCTCTTCCCCGAACCCTAACTTTAATCTAAATCGAACCAAAAAAATGAGACGAGCGGAAAATTGAAATTGAGGGGGGTCATGGTGACCCTTGATCTTGAGAATATTTGACTTTCGAGGTTATGCAAATAGTAAAAATGGCAAACAGCATCCATCTCACCATCTCTTCTCATATTCCAAGGCTTCTCAAAGTACTGAGAGCTACAGTAACAACAAAGGAAAAGTAAACAAATACTTTTAATACCTTTTAATTCTTAAAATACGAAAATGATTGGGCAAGTTCTGCAAGGAAGATACCGAGTGCTGCGAGAACTGAAAGAAGCGAGAGAAGGGAAGATTTACTTTGTCGTCCAGGACCAGGAGAACGGTAATGTAAAATGCGGATGGTTTTTGAATTTTTCGTCAAGGAAACGAATTAAAGATGATGAAGGGAATCGGCCTTCTCGGACTAAAAGAAGAACACGACGCCAATTTGGAAATTAACTGGCTTCGGCAATTTGGGATGTTTTCATTTCTTCAAGTTTTTAGTAAGAAAAATTCATGAAATCGTAAAAAGATCATGACTACGTTGTAAAATTTCTCGAGACCTTCAAGTTCAACGGGGGTCTTGGAAGGTGAGGAGTCCAAATATGCAGGTGGTATCACCTCGTTGTCTCGGGACCGTGCAGATGCGAGCAAGTGCGGCGGATCAATAGCGTAAACTGCCCTGTATCTCAGATAAAATCAACATCCGGTACCCCCCTTAGAGAGAAAATTTGACGTAAACTGGACATTTGGATAATATATTTCGACGATGAAATACAAAAATGTACGAGATTTTGATAAATACACAATGAATATGAATTTGTACAAATTATAATCCGCAATAAGACTGATTCAAACTGGACGATTGGCTCATCTGGAGAGCCTAATTGATGGCAAATTTCTCTGATATTTCTAGGAGATCATTAAAAAATAGGATCTTTTAAATTGAATTGACTTTCGTTGGCAATCTTCAGGCTGATTCGAAATTTCCTCAAACCAACAACAAAGTGGGCATTGATCCGCAGAGTCTTTAGAGTATTAAAGATATACACTTTCATTTTCATTTAATTCTTTATAACATTACTTATGTTACATTAGCTTAGCTACAATAATAGAATAATATGAAGAATAATTTAGCTAGTTTTTCTTGAGGAAAAATAGTCCGAGATGAATGCAAAAGCTGAGAAGTAAGATCTCTTTGGTTTTCGCCCTCAACTTTTGTTTCAGAAGATTGAATCAAAGATTTATTTTTTTCTAAAGGAACATGCTCTGTGTGAACTTTGTAAGTCAAAAGTGTCTTTGTAAGTCAACAAGTAGAGATTCATTGCAAAATTTCGGGGTAAGACCAATCAAATATCCAGAGAATGTTGATATTTATCATTTGACCCGCGGTACTTAGATAGACTAGGGGGGAGTGAAAGACCTTGTTTGAGTTCTCGAGCCATTTTGATTTTCTCTTTTGCTTCTTCGTAAGTAGGAAAATTAAATTTATGCTTAGCCGCCATATTTTTTGGAATTACGCTTGCACCGAAGAGATCCATCCCGGTTACGACCTAGATTACCATCACTTCTACCCTCAAGCTACTTTTGATCCGCCGCGCTACCTCACAGCTGTTATCTCATTTTCAAATCAGTACCTATATGGACTCCTCACCTTCCATAAACTCGTTCAACGCTCCAAACGGAACCCCATACCACGCCTTGATTCTTGAATACCTTCCTGGCGGAGATTTGGCCCAGTTCTTTGAGAAAATGCTCAACAACGGTACGTTTGACTAGATATTTTCAGGCAAAATGATCATTCAATGATCATCAAATGATCATCAATTTCAGAAGGGGGCGAAAACGAGCTACCATGGGCTCAGAACGACGCTTTGCGAATCTCTGCCCAGCTGGTTCTTACTTTGAGTAAGAGACTAAGACGTTCAAGGATTCTCATCAAAATTTAGACTACATTCATGGGAAGAACATCATGCACCGAGACGTAAAGCCTGAAAATATTCTCATGTCCGCCGATTACCAACAGGAAGCAACTAAAAATCAACATTTTCAACGCGACCATTTAGGTGAAAATCGCGGATTTTAACATCTCCCTAGTCGGAGAAGAAACCCTCCACACTGGCGTTGCTGGATCAATGGACTATCTCGCCCCAGAAATCATCAATAACGAAGGAAATACCGCTCCGCTCTCGAATTTTTCAGGACATTTCGGGAATAGGCATCATTTTTCAAATGCTATGCACTTTCAGGAAAGATTTAACAAAAATTTCATTAGAAAAAATTAAAAAAATTCTTGTTGAATTTCAAAAGACATCCTTTTATCGGTCGAAACGCGTTTCAAACGATGAATAATATTGTCCAAAACATTCGACAACCCGCAGAAGTGATGTTCACGGCGATGGAAAGTCTTATTCAACGCTGTCTTGTCGTTTAAATCGGCGAAAGAGCGGATAGTGCTGCTGCGCTGATGACTCATCCGGCGCTGGTCAGTTTGATCGAACAATTGAAGAATCGAGTTTTGCCGGCTGATCTGACTTTTGGACTGACGAGGATTGATACTACGATGAAAATCAATGGACTTTTAAATCGCGAAAATGTGGAATTGAAAAAAGAAGTCGAAAAACTTTCTGGAGAGCGTGATTCGGCAAGAAGAAGCAATGAAACTTTGAAGAAAAAAAATGCAGAACTAAAACGACAGAACAACGTGCTCAAGAATGAGACCAATAAGAAAACATGTGAAATTCAAAAATTGAACAAAGATATAAACGAAGCCAGAAATGATGCCGTTCGGAGGTTAGAAGTTGTTCGACCAGAATTTGTCCGATCTTTTGGAGAAAATCCCGCGATGAATGGATTTGGTCATTTCTTCGGCCTCGACTCTTACGAAGTCCGAGGACAACACGACGAAGCTGCGGTACGACGAGCTCTTCGAGCAATGGCGGCCGGTTTTACTGAATTTAATTTGAAGGAAATGGATAAAGTTGCATTTTTCAGTTTTTGATTTTTGTTTCGAAGCGATTTTCATCTAAAATAAAGCTTTTTTACAACGTGGCTTTAGAAGTCTCAGAAGTTGGCTGGACGGTCCGACATCCAACGAATATCGTGAAAGAGGGAAACAGCATCTGGAAACTGTGGTTAACTTTCAACGGTATTGATTGTTGAATTTGAGATTTTTATTTTTTAGGAAAACGCGTCGACTTTCAAGCCGACGCGGACGCTATTGGCAATTCTGGGAAGATCTACAACTCGGCGAAGAAGTTGACGCCGGATTCACAAGGAATGGTAAAACTCAAAGGAGATCGAGTTTACGTCCGCTGGAATATTACAATAAGAAAATAAAACTGTCCATTATTTTATTTAGACTGAATAAAATAAATCCGATTAAATTATTTTAAAGGAAAAAAAAACTCTTCTTATTTTATTCTCGAAATTTAATATGAAAATAAAAACAAAGTTGCTTATTTTTTAAAAAACAAGTCCTTATACTTTGATCAATCTCGATGCCATAAACTCGGGGAGTCAGTTTTCGTCGCTCCTATCGAAAAATAGGGAGGCACGAAGTTTTCCCTCAAAGCAGATTCACGTCACCTTCACGTTAAGATCCTCTAATGGGAGTAACCCGGCCCGGGTTGAAATTTCGATATCGATTAGCACATCGCTTCAGCCGCCCCTAATATCATCAAATGGCTTTTGCTTCCGTGTCCGAAGCGATTACGATTCCAGACGCACCGCCGGAGCTACTATTTTTCGTCTTTTTTCTTTCCAGCGCCGTTTTCGATTTTGAAAGGCGAATCTTCGTTTTGGGGAAAATGTCAAGTTTTAGTTTTGTTTTAGAAACGAAATCGCTCATTTTATAAAAATATGAATGATTCACTAAAAAGAGGCATAAAATTTATAAAAATCAAAAAATAATATTATTTAATCTTAATTTAATATTTTAATTTTTTAAATTAATTAATTTTAATTATACAAAATTCAAGAAAAAGCAAAATTTTTTTATCAGAATCTGATTGATTGATATCAGTCATCATCGATCATCATCGTCAGACTTGTTTTGATACAAATTTATTCTAGAAATAATTTCCTGACTAAAATAAACACTCAGATTTTTCTACCACTTCACCCGCGGAGCGGGCGTCAACCTTGACTTAATTAGTGAATTTCATCGAATGAAAGATGTTAAGAAAAATGCTTTATTTGAAAACATACTTGATGAATCAAGTTGATGATTATTCTGTGATTTTTGTTCTTATTTTGACCGAAAAAATTGCCGATATCTATGTATACCATACAATTGTATAGAAAATCGAAGTTCGAAGAAATGTCTTTAAGATATACCTAAATGAGCCTGCTGAACATATTTTTTGCTCAACATAACATTGATCCCTAGTTTTTAGAAAAAATATCAATATCAGCATCAAAATAACAACACTGTCACGAAATTCTAAAAACCTAAATTCCGTTTGACCAGTCTGACGAGTTTGACGAGTCTGACGAGTCTGACGAGTTTGACGAATTATTAATTATTATTAATTCGGAATTAAGGTTCAACCGTTTTTGCCGCTGAAGAATATTATTATTTTTTTTTAATTCGAGACAAATTTCGGACTATTTGGATGATTTTCGGTACGTAGTCGTATTTTGGGTCGATTGGTTATGTCGATAATTATCTACTAGACGCGTTGTATTTTATAATTTGGGAAGTAATAAAACACGTCTAAAAATCCGGCCTCGCCGAATCACGTTTTCTCCTTGTTGCGCAACTCAAGTACGTTTTTTTGGGGCGGGCGGATGGGGATTTATGTCTCCAGCGCAAAATCGACTAAAGAAAAAAATCGTTTTTGTACAAGTCGGATAAAGCTATCGCCCCGTGTCGGTGAACTGATTAAGGGTCTTGTCACGCGGACGCGGATATCACCGACCCCACCGTTTCTTGGTAGAAGTTTAAACCTAGATAAGAAACTTGTTTTCGTTTCCATCGGCGCAAAAACCAAGCAGCTCCAAATCTTGATAGCAAATACGGAAATGATGCAATTGCAATCAAAGAAAATTGAAAGAAACGTCTTTAGTCAGATCTACTCGCGGGGTCGTCAACAAGGGTAGGGCTCGCTACGTCATTTCAGCGCCATAGGCGAGCGCCTATTCGCTCAAAGGGCTTTTGGGGTGCAGCGAGCGAATCAGGGCTCGCCTGTGGCCCTGAAATGAAGTTACGAGCCCTACCCTTGTTATGACACCCGGGAGTTAAACAGTCTAATTATAAGAATCTCTGAATACAATTTTCAATACTTTAATTAGATTCATATTTTTCTTAATTAAAGTCTTATTAAAAATTGTATTCTTTTCATAGACTCAATAATTCAACAAAAATAAATTTTCTCATGATTTTTTTATAAAATACAATAATCAGAAGATATTAGAAAAAGAACAGGCTTTTCAGTTTTGACTGTATTTCCGATGACTTCTTGCTTGACCAGTTGATCTCCATCCAAATCGAGTCTTTCAATTGAATGAGGTTTGACTAGGCCAGAAACGATGAAAATTGAATTGCTGATCAATATCGCCGATCCTCCTCCGTCAGTCTAAAATGAAATTACTATTTATTGTGTTATATTATATATCTTAATTAATTATTATTTTATATTTAGAATCTTTGAAACTTACGTTTTGAAGATCGCCAATAGTTCTCCAAACGTTGTTTTCAAGAAGCCAAATTGATGATTGAACATCGTTTTTTCCATTTTTTCCACCTGCTAGCAAAAGACTTCCACTTGGAAGCCCCATCAAAAAATGAGAGAATGTTTCCCTTGAAAATTTTCGGATTTGAAATCAATAAAATTTTTTGATACCTTGGAAAGTCAGCCAGTTCCGACCAACCAGAAGAACTGAGAGTCTCCACTTTTGTCGAATGGTTAGTTTTATAGCTGCTATCTCCTACTGTCGTTGGTTGTCCATCTGGGCTCGGCCACCTGAGTAGAAAACCTGAGTCAGGGTCTCGAAGAGCAAAAATTAAAAATCTCTCAGCGGCTTTTTAAGAAACGCCAGAAATAAGATTGAATGATAATCTAACGAAGCGATTTTGCGGCTTTTCATTTTGAAGACCCTGACTCAGGTTTTCTACCCAGTTTGCCGAGCCCAGTTGTCCATTGTAAAAGCCGAGGTTCCCATCTTGGTGCAGAAAGGCGGACGAATAAGTTAAGTTGACGGATGTTCTTGAATCGAAAACTTCACAGTTTTTGTAAAACATAGGAAAACAGATCAACGCCTTTTCTCCGTTCTCAATTGAAAGCGCAGCAGACCAAGACAAAATGTGGAAGTTTAATTTTGCCGGATGTTCTTTCCATTCGCACCCTTCTAGTTTCGCTATCTAAAAGAAATAATATTAAAAAACGGTTTATTTAATTACTTTTCGCATGTCCATTCCGCCAAATATGAAAAGCTCATTTTTCACAAGAGCATGCAGAGAATATAGCGCGTAATCATCTGACGGTCCAGTGATGATAGTTGATTCTTTAGAAGCGCCGTCGCCAGAAAATATGAAAGCGTCGGTAAGTTTTTCTCCAATGAACATTATGTGCATTTCACTCTTTGAAAGTTGAGTCATCGGCTTATTTTGACTGTCATAAACTTTAAGAAGCTTTTTTTTTAATTTTTGATTTCTTAACCCTCGCCGGCCAAAAATGATTTTTCTCGGGTACCGGTCAAGATACTCCATATTTGGCGCCAGGGATTTACCTGCAAATAAGACTATACAAATGATAAAGGTCAAATTATATGGTCTTGGGGAAATAGATTAAACCCTGCCTATCAAGATGCAATAGAAAAAACCGCTCCAGAATGAGTTTCTTAGAAATTATCCCTTAAATATTGTGAGGTACTTGGAAATGAGTAAAAACCTGCTCCATATTTGGAGTACCTTGACCGGCGAGGGTTAAATTTTTTTTAGAAAATTGACATCTCTGATTTTTCATAAAATGGTTTGTTTTTACCGGATTAGTCGGTTTTCTTGACGAAGTAGTAGTTTCATCGGTTGTTGTTTGATTTGTTCCATCAGTTTTTTCATATTCGGACTTGTTTCTCAAAGGAAGAGCGATAGCTATACCAGCAACGACAATTGCGATTACACTCAGAATTATGAGAATTAATTTTCCTCTACTTAGTTTCGCGCACTTTTCTACCATTATGAAAAATTTATCTTTGAAAGAAAACGCTAGTTAAATTGGTTTCAAAGGTAAAATGGCAAATATAATCTCGTTGGATATGAGTTGCCATTTTGCTTGAGCACCAAAGCTGTTTCCAATAATCCCAGTAAAGGGTACGGGTGTCGATGTTCTATGTGGTCTTATCTTGAAAGTAAGATAATAACTATGATGCCTATTGAATTTCTCGCAAAAAATAACGTTAGTTTATAGTTGAAAGTGAGTCAATATCATGAGCCGTTTTTGAGATACGAGCGCTAGAACTTTGACCGGAAAAAAAAATTTTAGCTTCGATTTACGTCATTCGAGGCTTTTGGATCGGCAGAGCAAGGGAAACATCATGGTGGTCTTAGTTTTTCATATAAGTAGATTCTAGAGCTGAAATTGTTAATCGTATTTTCAAAAAATGCATATTTTAACGAGATCAACTTTTCAAAAAAGTATTTTCGGTATTTTTACTCATTCAATCCTTGATTTTCTTCTATTCAAAGTCTCAAAAAACGTTAAAGTTTCATTAAAAAATATAAAAAAAGTATGTTGATAAGGTCAATTCAAGGAATTGAAGCCAGTTTAAGCCGATTTTTGCCCGAGATGTCAATTTCAGAGCGATTTTTCGACAAGAAAACGTTTATAAACTTGAGATTTTCTTGTATATAAGTATAGATCTAGGTCCAAATTAACTAAAAATGAAAGATTCAAGCCTCCAATTCTTCTGGATATCCAAGAATAAGGCCATGGTGAGAGCCTCGTCGACACCCGTAGCCTTAAGTGCGACCGCTAGAACTTTAAAATCACTTTATTAATAGAGTTAGTGAACAGGAAAGTTCTGGATTTCACAAAATGAAGCAGCTTATTTGCGAAAAAATGAAACAAATTCAGCCCTTTTTGAAAAGCTCCACATCAGAAAGAGCGCAAATCCAATCGACAGGTTCCCTTATTGGCTACCAGTGGCCTTTTTATCCAAGTTCCACGCAGTTGTGGTGCGACCGCCTGTTGTTACAATGCGATTAGCGCGAGTCTTCTAATTCTTCCAAAAACTCGAAACTGAAAAAACTAAAACCCTAATCCAGGCGTTTGCGCATTTTTTACTCGCCGGTTTTACCAGAATAATAGAATGATTTTTCCGCAATTTGTCTTTTTATTTTTTTTACTTTTATTTAAATTTAAAGCGTTACTCCAAAAGTTAAGATAGTAACACCCTTAATTTATTAATCAAACAAGAACTAAAGTCTTAAATCAGTTTCATTAATAAAATTTTTACTATAAATTAGTTAGTCTTTGCATCTAGGAAGCTGATTGGCTAGAAAATGTCGCTTGGTGGCGCTTTTTTTTCAATAAAAAAAATTCTGATTGGCTGATTCTATCGCCATTTTTTATCACATTTTTCTTCAAAATCATAATTTTGACATTTTTTGACAAAAGCAGAAGTCAGCGTTAATAAAAAAAACTGTCAAAAATAATGAAAAATAAAAATATTCTCGTCGATCAAATTTATTTGTTCGCGCATTTTTTTATTGACGGAATTTCTGACTACACTAATTTCAAGTTTGCATTGGTGAATTCGCCGCAATCCGTGTTGATTTTAACTGTTTCCGAATAAACGGCAAAGCAAGTGCGAGAGCAGATAAATAGCGAATTACAAGCAGAATTCAGTTATTCCCAGAGAAATCATGATCGCGGAAAACTTCCATTTGGACGAAAAAATTCAAAGAAAAATTCAAAAATTCCAAAAAATACAGCGTTTTTTGAGCAGTTACAGTTTCGTGAAATTAACGTGCCAGTAACAAACACAAGACAGCTGCATTTTTCGCCATAAAACACACAAAATGACATGTTTTGAAGCACATTTTTGAATTTCAAATGAGAGCGCCATTAGTGCTCTGCCAGTTCAAAGATGCAGAAATCGCAATTTGGATTTGTTACAGCTTCGGAATTTTGGCCTTTTTCTCGTGTTTGTGGAAACGGGCTTGGCTAATTCGAGCTTCTTGGGGATTGACCATCGCTAATTTTGTTTTTCGTAAGTTTATCATCTCCGATTCGCCTCTTATATTGGATTCTAGTGATTTTGGGCATGGGCCAGTGGTGTCTGTTTGCGTACTTTTGGTTTGGAGATCGGATTCAAATCACGGCTTTCTGGGCTACTACAGCCGTCGCGGTAATTTTGTCAGCTGTGCATGGCTGTTTTCTCACAAGGAAGGGGTCTTTAGCTGATTAAAGCTGATTCGCCAAATAGAGCAACAATTAAAAGACTCCTCTCAAGAAACATTGGCGCCACAAGAAACCCAGTTATTTCTACAGAAGCTGATTTTGGGGCTGATATCAATTTCTTCTACGCCGCTCAAATTGCATTTGCATTCGTTCAGGTCTGGGCTCGGCAACCTGAGAAGAAAACCTGAGTTAGGTTGAGAAAAGGCTTAAATGAAAAACCGCGTAGCGGCTTATATAAAAACAAAGCCACGAAGCGGCTTTGCAAATATTTTCACCTCAATCTATTAAAAATTCTGACAAAAAATCCCAGATGAAAAGCCGCATGGCGGCTTTTTTAAAAAGGAAGCCGCGACGCGGCTTCGCTAGAATTTTGAATAGATTGAGATGAAAATTTTTGGGAAGCCGCTAAGCGGCTTCGTTTTTTAAAAAACGCCGGCTTTTCATTTTAGGTCTTTCTGAACCTGACTCAGGATTTCTACTCAGGTCGCCGAACCCAGGGTTCAGATTTCCTGTTCCATTTCCGTGCTGTACTTTCTGTTCGACTGCGCCTGGCGGGGGCTTTAAAATTAAACTGTCCAGAATAAACAATTGCTGTCCCTATCGAGTTGAATCCTATTTGCTTAACTCGCCACCTCAAAAGTGTTTGTGGCCAAGGACAAGTATCGTCATGGTGCTTATACTTAAATATTGAACGACCGAAATTTCCCTAGGAAAAAAGTGCTTAGTTGTCCATTTGTAGGAATATTTATGAGAGCTTAAATTTGCTGAAGATTCTATTTTTGATGAAAGAGCACAAGTTTTTGCCAGGAAATATTAAAAATTCTGAAATTATTAAGTTGATATTCTGAGCTTAAAAGCCTGTTTTGAAACCTGAGTCAGGATCGTGAATAGGCTTTAATGAAGAGCCGCGGTTTTCTAGTGAAGCCGCGAAGTATTAAGGACCCAAAGATAAAGATGTCATTATGATTCTTGTGATGAACTTTTTTTTCAGCAATTTTTAATCCCGTAAAGATTGAAAAGAATTTTCTTTCATTTTGGATTGGCTTTACAGATCTTCCTGTACGAGTATTTTATGCATCGGCAATTTGCTCCTTCTTTTTATGTTTTTTAAAAAGAGAATTGATGAACAAAATTTGCTGGAATTTGATTCGAGCTAATTTTATTTTCCGTAAGTTCATTTCTCCGAAAAAAGTGGGTATTGAAGGTTGTTTAGTGCTTTTTGGGCTGGCTGAATGGATAGGTAGGGGGGTTTGAAGGAGAATTGATTGATAAATTGAGCTAGAAAGCGAACATTTGGTTCTTTTCTGGTCATCGTTAGCTGCTAACTTGGTTTTGACAACAGTTTTTGTTTATCATCTTCTCAGGAAAGAGTCGAAATTCAAGAAAACGAGCCAAAAACGCAAAATTTTCGTTTCCTAATGTTAGAGTTATGATCTCGATAAATGCAGGAAGTCTCTAGACGGGTTTGTTTGTAAAAGAGTATAAGTTTATTTGTAACGCGAGACGAAAGTAGAAGATTGAGAAGAGTGTTTTGAACTAAGGGCAGAGTCTTTATATAGTGTTTTAGTTCGTGCGGATGAGATGTTAAACGGTGCGGATGACTGTGTAGTTGGTGCAGTTGGAAGATTCAGTCGCGCGGGTGAGATAGTAGATCGTTTGAAAATAGCTTCATTTGGTGCGCGCGGCTGAGGGCTTCATCCGGACGAATGAATGGCTAGTCCGCGCGAGTAAACATCTCGCGCGTACGAGTGAGAGAGGGGCTCAGCGCCTGTCTTTTGCAAGGAAGAGCGCTAGCGAGAATATAACACTAATATACATCTTCCCTTCTTTTTAATTGAAATCATCATTGATGAGCTGTTGAAGAGCATTGGCAGCTGATGATGATTCAGACTCTGTATAGCCGGGAGGAGATTCTGGTTGAGTTGCATTTTTGAATATTTCGTCCAACGAGAAGTTTTCAGAAATCAAATTTTCAGGAGCATCGCTTGTTGTAGGAGCGGCTTGTACTGTATTTACTGACGATTGAGCGTTCGATGTTGTAGCATTGGTCCGAGGATCCTTTTGAACCAAAATAACTTCAAAATCTCCCAATTGAAGAAGCCGAGCTTCATCGTGAAAGTATATTTCGACTTTGCGAACGAGTGTTAATAAATCAGCTTCTGAAATCGAGTTGAGCTCAGACCAGACGTTTCGTCGTGAGTAGAATTGTTTTTCAAAGCTTGTTATGATGCTTAATTCGCTATTGTTTACTGAATATCGGAGAATGATGCTCTTGTATGACCAGATGAGCAATGATTCCAAATTTTTCGCGTTTCGTATTTTGAGGTTGTCTTCGGAGTAACTAAATATTTGCTTTTTCTGAATTTCTTCCATGACGGTTGTAATTGACTGTAGGAGCGTTCGCACGATTCTTGTTTTGGGTTCTGATTCCAGATGAAAGAGATCAATTTTATAACCAAGTACAAAGTTTAGGTTGAACGTCATAAATCGTTTTTTTACATCTTCTTTTCGCGAGAAGATTAGGCACTCAAGAATATTACTTCTCTCAGAAGGCATTTTTCGATTTATCTCTGAAGATTCTGAGCGTCGATTTTTTGGAGCTTTGAATTTTATACGGGCGTTTTCATTCCTTAGCGGGCGTTTAGCTAACAACCCGTTTTGGCGAGGCTGTAACGGCGGGTTGATTACTGCAAGGGGGAATCGAGCTGCGCCGCGGAGGGGAAATGGTCGGCCCTTTACGCGTTTTCGATTTTGGTTTTTGAAAACATTTTCGACTTCCATTTTTGAATAACGTGCTGAGTGTGAGGTGGATTCGCCAATTCCATTGAACTTCGTTTCCCAAAATAAAAAGTTATCATCTTTGAGTACCATAATGGCCACTTTGGTAAACATCGGTGAAATTTGAATATTTGAGGAAAGAAATTGCCTGAGTGATTGAACCTTTTGATATTTTGAAAAGCTGACTGTAGTTGACTTCGGCGATATAAGGTTCTTGGATATTTGAGCACACTTCATCAGTTTTTCGGATCCTTGCAGGAGCTTCCGTTATGATGAGTAGAATTTGAAATGACTGTACTAGTACTAGCTTGAACACTTTCAGGACTTGACTCGGAGCACACGTGAGAATAGCAAGGCCAAGGAGGGTTACCTTCTCCTTTTTGAATTTTTCGGAGCGATCACTTTCTTGGTCTGAGACGTTTTGACCAATTACCATTACTCTCAGGATTGTCTTCTTTGAAGAGGCTTTCAAGATCTAGCGCGCCTTTTGAACTCGAAGTTTTTGGAGTAATAACTGTTTTCTCGTCATCTGTGATGTCAGCTTCTGTATCTTTATTTTCATGATTGTTCGAGATGACGGCTTTGATCTCGTTTTTGTCGAATATTTTGAGAGGACGTATGTTTTGGAGATGACGTCGATACGTTCGATTTGTTTTTGGACACATAAGGATATAACTGTCTTTTGAAATGCGCGTTTTGACGTAGTAAGGACCATCCCAGTTGATTCCAAGCTTACCACTGATAAGGTCTGGTTTGTAACATAGCACTTTGCAACCGATGGGGATAACTGGCGCATTGTTTTTGTCTTTCTTGACAAGCTGATGATATCGATCCATATGAAGTTTGAGAAGGGCTGGATGAAGTTGTCTCAAGTATTCGTTCAGAGCTTGAACGAAGGGCTCTTTCTTCCCAGTAATGGCATCGACTTTGAACGGAATATGAAATGAACGACCATAAACACATTCGTTCGGAGATAGAGAGTCGAGTATTTCTCGTGGCAAGTTGTTCATGTGATAGCAGGATTCTGGCCATTTAAGGGACCAGTTTCTGTTGTTTCCACCAAGTGTTTTTATGAACTTTGAAATGTCACGATGTGATCGCTCGACTTTACCATTTGAGCATGATCGGTACGCAGTTGTGTTTACATTTTTAATTTCGAATCGAGCCATGATTTCTTTGCAGAGGGGTCCAAATTCTTTGCCATTATCGCAGATGATGACACCATTTATACCATGACGAAGTATCAATTTTAGGAGAGCTCGAGCGACTGCACTGTCGGTTTTATTATGCAATGGTTCTCCGGCAAGATAGCTTGTAAGTTCGTCGATACAGGTAAGAAGAAATCGTTTGCCTTGGGCGTCAGGTCGGCCCATGTCGATCAGATCAATATGGCATTTGGTGAATGGTGTTGACTCGTAGAAGCGATTTTGAATCATACTCGGCTTCAACTTTTTCTGCGGCTTGATTCTGACACACGTTGCACAACTTGTTGTTATTGAGCGAGCACGGTCTTGAACCTTGTGGATGTAGAATCTTTTCACTAGATTCAGAAGAGCTTTACATCCGGAGTGAGCTGTGAGGACATGCAGGTATTGTAGGAATTCGTTCGAGATATTCGCTGGTAATACTAATCTTTTACCATTAGGACTTTTCGCAAAAAGGACTTCGTTGATGAGTTGAAACTTTTTCGACTGAAATTTGCTCAGTTTTACGATTATGTTCCTTGTTGAGGGACAGTCTCTCTGCATCTTCGCCATATCGGAGTATTTGAAAGACCGGTTTTCGAATTCAAATACCGTATCTTCGTTATCTGGCTTGATCAGCATGAAAAGAGTATCAGACGGGTCTTCAAAATCTTTTGCTCTTTCTTCCAGGTCTGACGAGTGTGATCGAGGAATACGACTGAGAGCATCAGCAGTACTCATAATTGGATCGTGACCAGGTCGATGCATGATCGTGAAGTGGTGATTTTGAAGGTAGTGCTGGATTGTAGCTAGACGGGCATCAAGCTTCTTTTTCGAATGCTCGCGATAAAGATATAGTAAGCTTTTATGATCGGTTATCGCGGAGAATTCTGTACCAAGCAAGTAGTATTCGAAAAATCGTATACTTTCCATCAAAGCTATCAGCTCTTTTTCGCGCATTGAGCGTCTGCTATCTGTTTTATTGAACGGACGAGAAAAGTATCCAAGAGCTGTTAAGGATTTTCCATCATGACACTGGTATAGACATGCACCCATTGCGTGACCACTGGCGTCGGATACTAGAGTTAACGGAGCACCCTTTTTGAAGTGTCCAAGTGAAGGTTTTTCTAGTAGTTTTTGTTTCATGAGGTCGAATGCATTTTGGTGTTCTTCTCGCCGTACGAACGGTATTTTCGAACTCGTAAGTTTATACAATGGTTCCAAGATCAATGATGCATTTTTGACGTACTTGGCGTTGTAGTTGTAAAATCCAAGTGTGCGTTTTAGACCTTGTCTGTCCATTGGCGCTTGCAGATCCTTTAGAGCTTTGATGTGCTTGTCAGTAATCGTAATACCATCGCGGCTGATACGGTGTCCCAAGAATTCAGTAGACGATTTACAAAGAACCACTTTCTTAGTATTGAGTAGAAGTCCATTATCAATACAGACTTGAAAAACGAATCGTAGCGTATCAAGGTGTTCTTCGAATGTCGAGTTTAGGATAATGATGTCGTCTAAGTACACTAAGATATTCGGATGTTTGAAAAGATCGGCCATGATTCTACTGAAAGCTGCTGGTGCGGTACTGATTCCATAAAGCATTCTGTTTGAGCAATAGTGAACTGAGTCGAAACTGAAGGCGAGTTTCTTAGTATCATTTTCAGCGACTCTGACTTGCCAGTATCCCTTTGAAAAGTCGACTTGACTAAAGAAGCAGTCATTTCCGTTTGTGAGCTTTTCGCCAATTCTTGTCAGAACACCACTGAGGTCTGCTAATGGAAATCTGTCTGGAATAAGGAGTTTGTTGAGTTCTCGAGCGTCCAAGCTTATTCTGATGCTTTTGTCATCTTTTTGCAGGATCAGTAGAGGGATATTATAGGCACTTTGCGCATGGTGAATGAAACCAAGATCGAGCCATCTTAGAATTTGAGACTTGACTAAATCGTGAAGGTGAATAGGGACGCGACGACTTGTCTCATGAGCACTTTGACTTTCGTCGTGTTGAGGTAAAGTGAACCTTTTGTATGCGAGTTGACCAATGTCGTTATCGTCCATTGAGAAAGCGAGTCTTAGCTCTTGAGTGAGATTGTTCAGTTGAGATTTCTGTGCTTCATTTGTATCACCGAAGGATATTTTTGGTATGAAGTTTATCTCATTTGCGTGTTTTTTTCTCTTGAGCTGAAATTGACGAAGTTCTTCTTTTTCTGCATTAAGGTCCTCGATTTCGATGATTGCATGAAGATGATTGGATGAAGAGAAGGGTACTTTTTGAACTTCTTTATTGTTGATCGTGACTGTAGTTGTGAGAGGGTCTGTACTGGCTTTGATCTCCTTGATAACATCGAGTCCTATTATACAAGGGACTGCGAGATTTTCGATGATCAAAGGCTTGATACTGTAATTGAGCGGTGAAGTTGAAGTTTCGATTGTGATATTGACGTTTTCGCTGAGTGTTTTTGGATGAATAACTGTGTTTGCGATCGACACAGGAGTTTTTGAAATTGAGAGTTTTGTAGGAAGGCCGGGTAGATTTGAGCAGAGTGCTGTTTGAGTTGCACCAGTATCTACAAGAGCAGGCCAGGTAGTACCGTTGATATTGATATTGATGAAGATGAGTTTCTGTGTGATGACGGTAGAGAGAAGAGATTCGACGGTTAGTCATTGAGCATTATTGACTGCGTCAACTACTGACTGAGGAGGATCGTCGCTGTGAATGTACTTGCACGGGTCCCGCTTGCACTTTTTGTTTCTCGTAAAAGAGATACAAAAGCCTTCCATTTTCCTAACATCAACACGTTTTCGAGCTGGTTTTTTGGTGGATTGAGCATCTTTGATTTCAGATCGGAGTAGATTTATCTGATTTTCAAGGAATGACTTGTCGAAGGTAGCGAAGACACCTTCCTGACTGAGAGGAGTGATTGATCGTTCGAGTTCAGCTGCACGTGCAATGATGTTGTCGTAAGTGAGAGCACTTTTTTCTCGAGAAAGGAGTTGTTTCAATCGAGGTTCCATGGCATTGATAAACAGTTCCACGAGCATATCGTTTTCAGACTCAGATAATTCTGTTCGATCATACGCTTGCATGAAATAGTCAGTGAGTTTTGCAAGTGCTACACCACAGGTGTCTTGTCCCCGCTGATATGTTCGAAGCTGGTGACGGAAATGTTCTTTTGATCGTCCAAGAATCGCTGTCAATTTTTTCTTGAAAGCAGTCCAGCTCGTCATTTCATCAGCTTTCAGAGCACGTCGGATTGAAATTCCAGTTTCGTCATTCATCATTTGGGAAAGTGTTATACCAATAAGATCAGTGTCAGGGAGATTCTGGCACTGCTGGTAAATTTCCATTTGTGACAGAAAACTATCGATCGGCAAGCTACTGTCGTATTTCGCTGGTTTGATTGAGCCAGGTATTTTCTGTTTTCGCTCTTGTTGATATTTGTTGACTCTTGGAGTTTGAGAAGATTCCCGTTTTTCTTCTTTCGGAGGAACATTTTGGTCTTGCTGATTTGGTGTTTCAGGTTCATCCTTGACGTTGGCATCTTCTTGCTCGATTTTCGCTAGAATCTGATTAAGGGATTCCATTTCGATCGTTTCATTTATTTCCGCTATGTTTATTCTGTGATCCTCGCGAGCTTTTTTCTGAGGAGCTTCTCCAGTGAAACCAGGCTCGTATTTCAGATCAGATCCATTTTTTCGGAAATAGAATTTTTTCTGAATGTCGTTGAAGAAGGTTGGTTCGATTGCAAGGATATTCATAATCAGTCCTTTCTTCGTGAAAACCGGAAATGCCATAGGGTAATTTCCATCTGGGTGAGCATCATAAACCAAGACGAGTTCCTTGGTGGTGAGATCCAGCGTCGTTTTGTAGTAAATTTCTCCCATGTTGAAATTGCGACTCTTCTTTGATATATGACTTTTTTTGTTTTAACTTTTAAGTTCCTAAAGACGAATCTATCGGTGGCGCTTTTCAAGAAAGACACTCCGCTTTCTTTGATTCCACCCTGGATTTAAACCCTTGAATTGTTCCAAAGGAGCAATCGACTCTTCTTTGAGATGTGACTAGGTCTCGGGCGAACAGTTTTCTTCAGTCACCAATTTTGTTAGAGTTATGATCTCGATAAATGCAGGAAGTCTCTAGACGGGTTTGTTTGTAAAAGAGTATAAGTTTATTTGTAACGCGAGACGAAAGTAGAAGATTGAGAAGAGTGTTTTGAACTAAGGGCAGAGTCTTTATATAGTGTTTTAGTTCGTGCGGATGAGATGTTAAACGGTGCGGATGACTGTGTAGTTGGTGCAGTTGGAAGATTCAGTCGCGCGGGTGAGATAGTAGATCGTTTGAAAATAGCTTCATTTGGTGCGCGCGGCTGAGGGCTTCATCCGGACGAATGAATGGCTAGTCCGCGCGAGTAAACATCTCGCGCGTACGAGTGAGAGAGGGGCTCAGCGCCTGTCTTTTGCAAGGAAGAGCGCTAGCGAGAATATAACACTAATACTAATAAGAAATCGCAGCCTTTTCAATACACCACCTCTAAGAAAAAGCTCGCATATCGGAATCTATGAAGAAAACTCCTCAACTTTCAACGTTAAAAACTTCTACCGAGTTCAAACTGCCCTAGCTTTTGTTCAAATTTTATCTGCAATTGCTGCAATGACCATTATTTTTCCCTGTGTGTGGCTTTGGATGCCTTATTAAAATCAAAAAGCTAAATAAAGTTGTTTTCTCAGAACTGTTTGCGAGTCCCAAGTAGGAATTATGATTTTGATGCTTGAATTTGTAGGAATTGTTATTCGGGAATTGCGCTTCCCTAATAGCAACCGAATCGAAAACAAAATCAAGGTCAAATGAAAATACAAAAATTACTCGTCATTTCTTTCAATAAGAGACAAAATGATTGATGATAAAGAGCTTAAAATTTCACCAAGAAAAGATATTCAAAAAGTATAGGCTATATTTATATTATATAGCTGAACTTTATAACTGATTTACCCAAACTTTTACCATTAAAAATCTTTTGAAAGGTCGAACGATGTTTACGTCGACCTGAGTTGGTCCGATATTCCGATTTGGTTGTTTTTTAGCTTTGCGATCTTGTCATTTTCATTGGCTATATTGAATAAGATAGTTTGGCTGACTAGAGTAACATGGAATTTGCTAGGTGCTAGCACTTTTATCGGTTTTCAAGAGAATTCTGAATATGAGTCTCGATGGATCTAGAGGCCGGCCCGCCTTCGAAAAAATAGTTTGAAGAGTTCTAGTGCCTATTTTGGAACTTTAGGTCCCATGAATTGCCTTGCGGGCATGACCCAGACCCCGTTATATGGTGCCCAAATGAAAGCTCAGTTTCTGGGCTTTCTAAAACTGTATCATATGACCCTCCAACTAAGTTAGAAAAATGGGCCGAAATTTAGTCCGGTAAGCCTAGATATACTTCATTAAGTGCTTTTTGCTGACATGTTTTTGTGGTGCTTTATGCGATACTACTCAAAGCTCGTTTATCCTCCAGCCCCTGTGGTCCAGGGAAATGCTGGCATCACGATTCTATGGTGTTTTCTGCTGATAAATGTTGTTTTGCTTTCCTTCTTCCTTCATTTTCTCATCAGGGAAGTGTTCATTTTTCCCGAAAAACTTGAACAGAAAACTTAACACTTTGAAAGAAATTTCGGCGCTCCGAGGAATGCAATCGCACCAATAGAACCAGAAATGACAGAAAAACAAGAAGATTCTAGCATCATTAATGTCAGAAATTTCCACGTGACTCAAGTCGTTCTCGCTGTTCTACAGATATTGTGCGCTCTTACTGTCCTGGTTCTTCTTTTTCCTGGTGCTTGGCTCTGGATGGGCTACTGAGTTTTTTTTTCGAGCCTTTTGTTTAAAAAAATAATTCAAAAAAAATAATAAAGAGTTTGGTTTGAGTTTTGTAATGATCAATTAAAAGCAATAAAATCGGCCCCGGAAGAGCGATTTTCAAAGGAACTCAAAAAATAGCGCTTTTTAAAAATATAAATTTCATTTTTCAAAATGTTGCTAGAGATGTTCCGTCTACTATTGTACTGCCAATTTCCTACGCCATTGGACTGTGTACAGTAATCCTGACATCAGTAAATCGCCACGCCCATGGCCGCTGTTGTTTGGCTTGGATTTTCGCGACGCATATCATCAGTAAGCTTTTCTTGTTTGCTAAACTGGCTATCTCGGTTAGTGTTTGGCGCGATGGCGCAATGGCTCATGCTCAGATACTTTCTCTTTCAAGATGTTTTGCAGCTCACGTTCTTTTGGGCTTCTACTGTTGTTGTGACTGTTTTGCTGATTGTCAGTGAAGCGTATCTTCTCAGGAAAAAGTCGAATCAATTATTTTTAATTTTGAAAGATTCTTTCTCGAATCTTATTGGCTAGGCTCGGCAACCTGTGTGGAAAACCTGAGTCAGGTTCTGAGCTTGAATGAAAAGCCGCGGCTTCTTTTTAAAGAAAGCCGCGGCTTTTCATTTTAGCTCTTCAAAACCTGACTCAGGTTTTCCACGCAGGTTGCCGAGCTCAGCTGATTGATCGACGGGCAAAATCGAGCTTTTTGATTGGCTGACTCCACAATAAATAGAAATTGAGTCGACTTTAGTTACAGTAGCTTTTCGACAGTTATTCCAAAGGAAAACTCCTCGAAAACTGGTGAAAAATTCGTAACAAAAGAAGAAAAAAGAAGTCACCACATAAAGATCGCTGTAACTTTCATTATTGCTTTGGAAATTGGCTGTTTTGTTTTTGTTGTTGTTTACGTTCTTTATTCACTTTTTTTTTTCTTTCGTGGGGATTTCTTTGAAGTCGAGTTCTTGGACGCTTTACTCAGTCATCATTTTCGACTCAATTTTTTAGCAAGAAAGAGGCTCAATCAATCGCGTACTCTCGAATCCGATGAGAACGGAAGCGGAAGCTCCACTAAGGGTTATTTCCAGAGCGCCTTTTTGAGGTTAATTTGCGCTTTGTTGGTCAATTCGGCTTTACATTTTTTCTGAACATGGAATTAACTCGTACGTGTAAAGCAGCCAATTTTCTGGCAAAATGCGTGATTTGAATGAAATTAAATGAATTTTAATAAAAAAAAAAAGAAAATTCAATCAACAAAAATTATTAGTAAGATTTTTTGGATCTTCGAATTCATCAAAAACCACGTGTCCAATCCCCAATTTTCAACCTCAACCCTTCGCAATCGCTTTAACAAGACTTAAGAAGTCCTAAAATCATATTTTTTCTCGTTGCGAATTGAATAATATTTGTCCAAATTAGTCGAAACTGAGTGACCGCCACCGCTTGCCACCTGAAAAATCCTTCCTTGTCAAAACAAAAATTTCCTTTTTGAAGAAAAATCTATTTTGTCGATTGCATAAGCTACTAGAGCAAAAAGAGCAGCTGGCGAATTGAATTTAAACATCGACGACGGCTGCTTGAAACACAATGTTTATGAAAATAAGGGTTTGAACCTTTCTAACTTTAATTTAGCAGCTGCGAAAATTCTTTGCTCTGGCGAAAATCTTTATTTTTTTCCGGAAATGAAATTTGAAGGTCAGATATTTCGGCAATCTTCTTTTGAAAATTTACCTTTTGACACCCTTATTTCGGGACAAACCAAGAAAAAGAAGTGCATTTTCGGAAAGCCAATAAGATTGCTCAATTTGACCCACTGGCCAATCAAAAATCGAACCATAAAAATCATTTCTTTTACTTGGAGTGACACCCATATTTCGCGAAAATTTTTGAATCAAAAAAGTCTTTCTTTTTTTGTAAAAATAAATAAAATCAGATCAGTTCTATCAAATTTGTCGCCGTTCTAAAGATGAAAATTTTAAAGGCGTAAAATTATAGTTTCGCTGGGCACTAATGCATTTTCTAGCACCTCTAGCTCCAAAATCGACTTAAAAAATGCACCTTCATTAAGCTTCTAATGCACGTTGCGTAACTAAGAAATTGGAGCGGGAGGAATATATTTCAATTGCATTTTTGAATTGGAGTCCTTATACAAAAGATGATCTATAAGTTATGGACTATAAGTGTCATTTTTATTGAGATTTATTCTTTACTGAGCAGAAAATGTACAGAATTATTTCAAGATTGTTATATTCCAGCGGACATAAATGCATCCTCCTTCGAGTTTGACCATTCCGCTTGAATCCGGCGTCAACTTCTTTGTCGAGTTCTTGATATCCCCATCATTCCAAAAATCGTCCACGTCGGCTTGAAAGTCGACGCGTTTTCCTAAAAAATAAAAATCTCGAATTCGACAATCAATACCATTTTTAAGAATCCACAGTTTCCAGAATTGCCCGTCGCCGCCGTAGTTTTTGCTGTGCGTTTGATGTCGGATTGTCCACCTAGCTTCCGACACTTCTAAATTTTTGTCCCATGCAAACTTTATTTTGGATGAAAATCGCGTCGAAACAAAAATCAAAAAACTAAAAAAATTGATTTTATCCAATTCCTTCAAATTATAAGTCGTGAAGCCACCAGCCATTGCTCGAAGCACTCTTCGCACTGCAGCTTCGTCGTGTTCTACTCGGACGTTACCAGTATCCAGTTCGAAGAAATGACCAAATCCATCAATCGGGGACAGCTGACCAAAAATATGAATTTTATCAGGTCGATGAGCAGTTTGATTCACTTCGCCAAGGTCACTGTTAACTTTCCGTTTACTCTCTTGCAGCATTTTCATTTCTTTCTCCACTTTTTGTGTGAAGCATTCAGTTGTTTTTCGGACATCCTCAATTTGAAAATCCCGCTCTTGATTGGCAAGAATCGTATTTTCCTTAAAGATTTCAAGCTCGCGAACTCTCTCCTCCAGTTTATCATTTTTCTTTTTTAATTCATCTCGTTCTTGCTGAAGATCAAAAGCAAGATTTCGAAAGGTCTGGTTGTCCTTTTCAAGCTTGTTGATTCTCTGAAGAATCGACTGGAGCGCAGAATCATCAATTTGGGGGCGATTTTCCCCGGCGTTGAGGTCTTGGCTTCGATAAGTTCCAAGCGAGCTCTCAGAAATGTAGGATTGTTGGTCAGCGTTTTGCATTTTCGAAGGATTCTGGGTTAGTCGTCTCTCGATTTTTGAAAAGGCAAATGAGGTTCTGCTCAGATCTAAAGGCAAAAAGCAAATAGAACGACTTCTATTGCAAATATCAAAGCTGCGTTTAATTAGCTCTTGTGAGAATTTCAATAAAATCCATCGATTTTTTTAATAGAAAATAACAAAACTAAATTAGTTGAACTGATCTTTATAATAAAGACATTTTTCAATTAAGTACATTGATAATCAAGATTTTTTTGTCAGGAAATTTCGGCAGAATAATTGTTTGATTGTAATATTCCAGCGGACAAAAGCCGTTTCGCCTTTGAGTTTGACCATTCCATCTTGATCCGGCGTCAATTTCTTCACCGAGATGTAGCTCTTCCGTAGTATGATCTCAAAATTCGGCCACCTATAGCCGAATTATTCGTCTATATTTTCAATAATTCTTAATGAAAAATTCGGCCAAATTGACCGAATTATTATTGAATTTGTAAGAGTCCTACAGTAAGACAGTTAATGGACTTTTCGTAACCGGCGCTAATTACGTTCGATATCGTTATAATTATTGCTAAATTGCCTGAGACCCCTCAAAACAAGTCGAAGCTTTTTTCGATTAAAAAAATATAATCGTAAAATTTTCTAAAATAAAGGTTAGGGTTAGGGGCACCTGCAAAAATGACGGAACAACCTTACCCGAGGGGGATAGGCTAGGGTTAATTAGGGTTACTGAAGGTAACCCTAGACTAGACCCCGGCATCTTAGGACCGAGGGGCAGAGCCCCGAGGTAAGGGACAAGTAGATTGGATTATTTTTAACGTATAAAAAAGTGAGTGGTTAAATAAGAGCGCAGTTTTAAATCTTGGGGGCCGAATTTTTCATTCAAACGTTCAATTTTGGTCGAAAAATTCGGCCATGCTGGCCGAATTATTCATTCAGAATATGTCTTTATAAAAATTCGGCTTTTGGCCGAATTTTGAGGTCATACTACCGCTCTTCTTGTTTTGCTGATGAATTTTGTCCGCGTCTGCTTCAAAATCAACGCGTTTTCCTACACAAAGCTAAATTCAAAGGTCCAAAACAGTAAATGCCTTTCTTGAGAAGCGACAACTTCCAGAAGCCATCCCCGCCGAATTTTTTATTGCTCGATTGATGTTTGATTGTCCATTCTCCTTCCGTCACTTCTATATTTTCGTCATATTTGAACTTTATGATGGATAAAAAATTGCCTTGAAAAATCTACAATTCTGATTGCGATTTTATCCCATTCCTTCAAATTAAACTTGCAAAAGCCAGCTTCCATTGCTTTTAGCACTTTTCGCACAGCAGCTTCGTCGTGTTGTTTTCGGACAGATTCAGAATCGTCTCCAGTAAAATGACCGAATCCATTGATCGTGGGAAATTCGCCGAAAGAGTGGATTATTTCAAGTCGGTCAGCAATTTTCTTCATTTCAGTGAAATCCTTTTCGATTTTCTCTTTGAGTTCTTTTAGAGATGTCATTTCTTCTTTCACTTCTTTCGAAAAACCTTCAGTAGTTTTTTGAACTTCTTCAATCTGAAAATCGCGCTCCTGGTCTCCTAGAATCGAGCTTTCTTTGAATGTTTCAAGCTCAGAAACTCTGTTTTCCAGTTCTTCATTTTTCGTCTTCAACTCGTCTCTTTCTTGCTGCAGATCAAAAGCAAGCATCCGGAAGGTCTCGTTGTCTTTTTCAAGCTTAGTGATTCTTTCGAAAATCGAGTTCAGTGTTGAATTGTCGATTTTCGTGCTCTCTTCGTCCGAATTTTTGCCCTTGTTTTCGTAGTAGCTAGTTCCAAGGGAGCTCTCAGATTGAATGATCGATCTTTCATCCTCATTTGACATTTTCGATGAATTTTAAGTTTTCTCTTTTTGATTGACAAACATCACACTTACGAGTGACCAAGCTCTTTCGAATAAAATAAACATTACTATAAGAATAGTTTCATGTAAAAAAATCTTCCAAAAGACCCAAAAAATTTAAGGGTCAATCAGCGCTATTTACAACCTGCCCTTTAAAATCCTGTTTTCAATTTAAGCTTCTTCAAGAAATAAGGTATTTAAAGCACGTTACGCAAGAAAATTCGCTTGAAATCCGCCCGTGAATGATTTTGGTAATTGGCACTTAGTATTTACTCAAAAGTTTCTCCAAAAAAATTCGAATGCTGCGCCCAAAAACACGTCGTATGAACGTCAGCTCTTCGCTCCGAATTTTCTTGAAGAAAAAATCAGACAGTTTTTTCTTCATTATCTGTATTTTTGCGTGTTTTCGAATGTAGCTCCACGTGGGCCTCTCCAGCTGCCGTATGCAGATCCTGTCGGAATATGCATTTGGCGCATCCGCTATTTATACTTCTCATGCGCCCTCGACCAGCCTCTAAGTCCGCCCTCTTCAAATCACTTGGAGGGAGCCACTAATGGTGCTTTTGTCAGCCGCTCTTGTCGGAGGACGTTTTACTTTCCCTGCATTGTTCTTTATCTCAAGTCCGTCCTCAACGCCAAGGTGGACGGGGGAAATTAAGGGGGTAGGACATCAAAAATTGGATCTTTATTCAGGCTTTTTCGATGACAAAGCATATTCTTTTGTCTCCGTTTGGGCTCGGTAAGTGTAAAAACCTGAGTCAGGGTCCAAGAAAATTCGGAGGACCCTGACTCAGGTTATTATACAGTTTGCCAAGCCCAAATGGGGTGGTGTCAGGAATCGAAAAAAAATCTCGACTAATTTCGCGTTGGCGGCTACTCCGCGGCTGATTGGCTGGCGAGTCAAATCCGGGCTTCTGATGGGGAGGTGTCTGGAACCGACTAAAAAATTTCGACAAATTTTGCGTGGAAATTTTCAACCAATCAGAAGCCTGGATTCGGCAAACCAGCCAATCAGCAGCCGAGTAGCCGCCCACGCAACATTTGTCGAAATTTTTTTGTCGGTTCCAGACACCATCCCCTTCTGATTGGTGGAAAATATCCACGCAAAATTTGTCAGTTTTTTTGTCGGTTCCTGACCCTACCCCCTAACGATGTCTATATTCTCGATAAAAATTTTATCGGGAATATTTTTATAGGTCTTAGTCAAGGCGGAAAGATTTTTAGTGATTTTATTTGCACGTGGATAAAATGTGTAATTTTCACAGTGAAAAAGAAAAAGAGCTAGAACTTTGGAAATTTGTTCTTCTTTTTCTCGGCAGGTTTGAGAATCTTTTCAAGGTCAACATTTTCGAAAAAAGGGAAAATTATAATTTCTACTCATCCAATCTCTTCAATAAGTGTCTCGCTTAGTGTCTCTTTTTTACGATTTCGGTGGTTTTCACATAAGATTTGTTTGAGAACACTTCATTTTATCTGTGAAGAGAAGTATTTTTATAAAAATGAAGCTCGAATGATGATGGTAAAAACCGCAATAGCGGGAGGAAAAAATGATTATGATTTCAGCAAATCTGAACTCTGTAAATATTTGATGACTAACCCTTAGTTATGGTTATTTACTGTAATCGAATTCGAACTATTATTAAAATAAATAATCTTGCTAAAAATCTCTGAAGAAAAAAATCAAGCAAAAAATCAAACTAAAGATATACTAAAAATGTCCCTAAGATGGAAATATTTCGACCTTTCCTGGAAAGAGCACATGAGACTTTCGTCGACGGACATCATGGCTCCTGCATTGTCAAATTCCCCGCAGTAGTTCGGCGCGGAGAAAAGGGTCACTAGCTGTCGCTTTGCGAAGAATTCGTAGCCGTCTTCTACCACTTGGTGTGCTCTATTGGAAAATGATAAGGGGTGCATTTTGAAGATTAATTTACCTGCAAATTAAGTCCAAATCATGTTTGTACAAAAATTTGGCGACAACTTCAGCTCCAAAAGTCCAGGACACTCCTCGGTCGTTTTCTCCCCAGGCAGAAGTTTCCTTGTCCGGGTCGGACCACAAAAGATCGCACAGAATTCCAGTGTCCGGAACATCTTTCAATTTCGATTGATCGGATTGGGGAAGAGTTTGCTACCTGTTGGTCTGACGATTCGTCGAATTTGCTCGAAAGATTCAAGTTCTGGGCTGAGGCCGCCGTGGCAGCAGAAGATTTTTTCGTCGATGATGGCCGCAAGAGGAAGACAGTTGAAGCAATCTGTGAAGGTTTTCCAAAGCTACAAAAAGGTATCAAGAAAAGGACTTTTTCTGAGCGATTTTTTGGCCATCTGATTGGACGAAAACAACTCAAATGATTTTTAGTTTCTGATTGGTTCATCAGTCTCGAAAAATCGTTAGCGTTTTTTCTCGACCAATCAGATGGCTTGATCCGATGATTCGCTATTTAGTGATGGCTGCGTAGGGATAGTGGGTGAAGGACTGGGGGCAGTAGAACGTTTTGATTGGTTAGATAAAAATATTCGTTTCTGATTGGGTGTAGGGTGGGTCACTTTTTAAACATTTTTCGAGCCGCACTTTCTTTTTATGCTCATTTGAAAGCTCTCGTCGTGCTGATCATTTTGAGCACCCGAACACCTTTGTGCACTCCCGGGAAAGTACTTTTACAGACTCTAGAAAATCGTGAAAATCGCGAAATTTGGGCCAAATTTGGCTCAATTTTGCTGTATTCGGGCATTCAAAATCTCTGCAGTTTTTTTTTCCTGTCATTTCCCGGGGAAGTTTCGGGTACCAAAATGACCGGCTTAACGAGTTCTTTATGATGATACAGTAAGTTCATGTGTACAGTAAGGGGCTTCCGGTGTTATTCTAGAAAAACCGGTTTTTCGACAAAATTTTTTTCAAAAATGAGGGATGAAAAATTTTTTTCGGTCAGTTTTCTGTGGAAAGTTCTTTATTGGGGTTAGAACAAGCATCTTACAAACAAAAAGCGAAAACGAAAGACCAACCCTGAAAGTGACCCACCCTAATTGGGTGACCGCGAATATACAGCACTCGAAGCTTTAGTCAATCAGAACCCACTATTTTCTGAGTCAGTCAATTTCAAAATAGTTCGAAAAAGGGGTTGAAGCGTTACCTTGATATTATAGCGTCGTTTACATTCGTCATAGAAGCCGTAGATTCTGTTGATGGAAGCGCACTCGTGATTTCCCCGCAGAAGAAAGAAGTTTTCTGGGTATCTTAAAAAATAATGAGAAGGGTTGAGAAGAGGAGGGCTTACTTGATTTTATATGCGAGAAGAAGGCAAATGGTTTCCAACGATTGCTTTCCCCGGTCAACATAGTCCCCCAGAAACAAGTAGTTAGACTCAGGAGGAAAGTTTCCGTACTCAAACAGTCGGAGCAAATCGTAGTACTGTCCGTGCACGTCCCCGCAAACCTTTAACGGCGCCTCAAGTTCAAGCAAAATCGGCTGCTTCAGAAACAATTCCCGGGACTTAAACTCTTTTCAATTCAAAGAATTAAGGGGAAACTTACGTAGTAGCACAAATCTTTGATCTCGTTCTCAGTCAATTGGACGCTTTTACCTGGTCGGCTCCCTCGGACCTCCAGGAGTCGCTTTATTACGGAGTCGAGGTTGGGCATTTCTTTCGGCTTCTCTGGATCTGGAACCATTTTGATTTACACCTCTTTCTGAATGGTTGGATTGAAGGACATTTTTATTATGAAAAATGCAGTTATTCAACTAGTCATTGATTTTGGGAAATTTTCTTCAAGAAATAGTATTAAATAGTACAATGACACCCTCATTTTACAAAACCAAATAATGGGAAACAAAAAATATCTAGAATGTTAAAAAAAATTACAAAAAAGTCTTTTCAAGTCGAAAATTTTAGTATTTTCTTGACATTTTATTCAAAAATTGTAAGAAAAAAAAATTAAAAAATAGTGAATCTAGGTGACATTATCTCAAACCTGCATTTTTCTTTATAAAAATTAGGAAGTCGATCAAATCTCTAACTTACAGTTCGTTTTTCGCCGGCCTGGACCTAAATAACTTCTTGAAAATCAGCGAAGTGATGAAAAATGACAACTTTGGAGCTTCGCAAAAAATGATCTAGAAAAAAATCTGCGATTGCCTCCAATTTGCCTGGCAAATTTTGCCAAACTGTTTTTTTGCCACGAAAACGCTGGGTATTTCTAGAGAAATTTTTTTCTTTGAGAAGTTGCGTGAGATTTTTTTGAAAAGTTTTTTCCCAAAACAATTTTAAGTTCAATTTGCAAAATTGCTCGAAAGGATGAAAACGGTCGATTGAAACCGCCGATACTGATCTACAAGCTTGGAATGTCTTTTGCGCCGGAATGTTTCAATGTTTCCGCGGAGAAGCAAAAGAAAATTCGGCGCTAGAAAAAAGGGAGGCTTCGGACGTGCCGATCTCGCTTGGCCGATGACATAAATATAGTTTTAAACCCCTTTTTCTTACGATCGGCGGAAATCGCAGCGTTGGAATGTCTTACTCTGCCAGCGCAAGTGCCGCTTCGCTGGTAAAAGTTGAAATAAATCGACTACGAAGGGCCCATGTCCAAGAAATTCTTAAAATTCTTGAGATTGAAAAAATAAGGAATACAAAATATAGGAGTTTAAAGGGGAGGTGTCTGGAACCGAAAAAAAAAATCGTCGAATTTCGCGTTGAAATTTTCCATCAATCAGAAGCCCGGATTCGACTCACTAGCCAATCAGCTGCCGAGCAGCCGCCGACGCAAAATTTGTCGAAATTTTCTGACGGTTCCAGACATCACCCCGTGTGTGCAAAAACTGATTTTGATCGAAAAAATTTTTCGTCCAAATTTAACACTGTGACACCCTTATTTTTCAAAAATCTTTGATAAAACAGAATTCAATAAACGTTTGAATTATCTAAAGATGCTGAAAAATAAGGGTGTCACTCTGTAAATTTTGAAGAAAGCAACCGATAGCTTCCTCAACAAGTCAGCTTCAACCAAGTGTAAATATTTGTCTCGTTATTACTCTCCGAAATGTGTCACTTTTTTCAAGAATATTTAGCCTTTTTTCCTGCTCTCGACATTTCGCGACATTCCAAATTCAACTGACAACGCCTCCAACTCCGTACTTTATGTCGATTAGCAGCTTCAGTTTTGAACTTGTAAAAAATAGCAGTAATTTGAGTCACGTGGCAATTTGAGAATTTCAGTTATTCGCAAGAATTGGCTTCTTTTGCTTTTTGCATCGGAACACTTTTTTAATTGCGGATTCTCGATTGGATTGAAATTGACAGATTTCAGCCGCTAGTACGTAAAAGAGCCGACAGATGACGCGTTTAATATTTTTCTTTTGAATTTATTGCAAGTTTTAATAATTCGACTAAAGTTACGATTGAAATGCGGCAGAAAAATCACCATTTTGCTTTTGCGACAATTTAAAACGATATTTTTTTCCTAGAATAAGATGAAAAATTTCAAAAAAAGTCAATTTTTTGACAAATCAGAGGGCCGGATTCGGGGATACCGGCCGCTAGAGAGCCAATCAGAGTTCAGTATTCGGAAAATCATCGAAAAATTTTTTGCGACTTATTTTTATTAATTTGCGACCCTTCTTTGTGCATCGGAAAAGTCACGTTTTCTTCGATCATTTTTTAAATCAAAATTTGTTTTGTTGACAAATTGTCGATTATTTTCCGATAAGAAGTTGGGCCCGATAAAAATCGATTAGACTCTTTTTTCATGAAATGCGGAAGGCTTTGTTTTCGAAAATTGGCGATATTCGCTGCTATCTTAAATTTCACACACTTGAGCCAGCTCTCTAAACTTTACGTAAATTTAAGCATCATCTAAAGTAGCTCTATTCAGCGCTTCCCTTTTTTGCTTACCTTACTCTTTACTGCTGAGAACCCCTTTTCAAATACAGTTAAATCGCCAAGATACAGACTCATCTTCGATGAATTCTAAAGTTCAAGCGATTCAAAGATAATTTCGACCAAAATATCCTCCGAAGCGAAGAACGAAATTTGTTGAACTAAACGACCCAATTTTCAAGAGCTACCACACCTCGATCTTATCGCAATTTGCTTATCATTTAATGAGTTTTTGTGAAATTGCTTTTGCAAGGAAGAAAATTAGAAAATTGACTAGGATTTTATTTTTTCTTTTTTTTTTGAATCATAAAATGAACAGGATTATTTTCGTATTGATATATTCAAGCGTACATAAGACCATTCTCCGTTGAGTTTGACCATTCCGCATTAATGCCAACATCGTCTGCGTCGGCTCGAAAGTCCACGCGTTTTCCTTAAAAGTAAAAATCTCAAATTCAACAATCAATACCGTTGAAAGTTAGCCACAGTTTCCAGGAATGCCCGTCGCCGCCGTGTTCTTTGTCATGAGTTTGATTTCGAATCGTCCAGCCAGCTTCCGACACTTCTAAATAATTGTCGGAACAAAACTTAATTTTGGATGAAAATCGCATCGAAACAAAACTCAAAAAAAACTTAAAAAATGCGATTTCATCCATTTCCTTCAAATTCAAAAGTTTGTAGCCGGCTGCCATTTGAAAATCTAAGCTCTCCTGGCTTTGAGCGCCGGTCTAGAATCGGCCTTTTCGAAAAACCTAGTTCTACCTTCTTAATTTTAAATCTTAATTTTAGACTAGGGTTTATTCTCCACGATGTGGTGACGACAGCTTTTGCGTATAACTACACTCAAAAATTTCCAATCATCGTTGGACTCCATATGCTCTAGCACCTTTACTTTTTGATTCGCTGGAACGTTGGCAAATTTTCGAGAAGATTTCAGTATTGGGTAAGTAAGGGGGCACACCTCATTAATCATACATTCATTCAACCTTCTTTTACCTGCAAATAAACTATTATGAATTGAAAATTGAAATCCCCAGCTTCTGGGGATTCTAAAACTGTATTATACTCTCACCCTACTAAGCTAGAAAAATAGCTTAATTATTAGTGATTTACCCTACTCATCATCGATGAATTCTAAAGTTCAAGCGATTCAAAGATAATTTCGACCAAAATATCCTCCGAAGCGAGAACGAAATTTGTTGAACTGAACGACCCAATTTTCAAGAGCTACCACACCTCGATCTTATCGCAATTTGCTTATCATTTAATGAGTTTTTTGTGAAATTGCTTTTGCAAGGAAGAAAATTTGAAGATTGACTAAATGCGATTTCATCCATTTCCTTCAAATTCAAAAGTTTGTAGCCGGCTGCCATTGCTTTGAGCACTCGTCGCACAGCATTCTCGTCGTAGGCACGTCGGACAGAATAAGAGTCGAGGCCGAAGAAATGCCCAAATCCCTCTAACGCACCAAACGATCCAACAATTTCCAATTCTTGCTCGGCATGAGTTTTGCTTTTTATCGCTTCTTCGAGATCGTCGTTCAGCTTTTGAATTTGCCTTTTGTAGCCATGATTGTCGTTATTAAGCGTGTTGTTGAGTCGTTTCAAATCCGCGTTTTCTTTTTTCAATCTTTTTGCAGAATCACGCTCGCCAGAAAGTTTTCTGTTTTCATTCTTCAAAGCAATGATTTCTCGATTCAGCGATTCGTTAATTATCAACGTCGTCTCAGCTTTTGATAGTCCAAAACTCAGATTCACCGGTGGAATGCGATTCTTCAACTGCTCGATCAAACTGACCAAGGCCGGATGAGTCATCAAAGCAGCAGCACTTTCTGCCAGGGTTCCAATTCTGGCTGAGCGCTGAGCGACATCTGAGCGTGAGCGAGCGACGAGCGAGCGAGCGATCGCTCACGCTCCGCTCACTCAACTGATTTTTATAGAGAACCGCTCAGTCGCTCGCTCGCTCAAGGTTAAAAAATATGATACCTGAGCGAGGTTTGAGCGAGGCTGGAGCGACATTGGAGCGAGGTTTGAGCGACGCCTGAGCGAGGTCCGAGCGACGCCTGAGCTAGGTTTGAGCGACGCTTGAGCGAGGTTCGAGCGACGCTTGAGCGACGTTTATTACTCACTAGCCAATTCTCCGCGCTTATTGGCCGAGATCAAAGACCTCTTTAGTTGTTAGCAAATGAATGAGGAGGATTTTCATTCACGAATTTACTCAAAAGAGGGAATTTTTAATAAAGTCTGCGAATAATTTTAACGTATTGTTGCCAGCAATATACGGTTGGCGTGTTAGGTCGTTGGGTTTTCCCCGCCGTCTACAACCATTGAGTTGGTAACAATAAAAAATTATTTTCGCCGAAATCCACTAACGTCAACCCTATATTTTTTGAAAATTTAGGCTACACTCGAAAATTGGTTTTGTTAGCTCACAATATCCAGGTGGCGTGTTAGGTCGTTGGGTTTTCCCCGCCGTCTACATCTGTTGAGTGAGTTCATAAAAAATATTTTTCGGTCAGCCTGATTTTTCATCGATACCCAAGCTTCAACGAAAGCTACCATATTTCTTTTTTTTATTATTATTACAGCCATTATTAAACCGCTTACTTCAACAATTAGACTATCCCCATAAATTGGCTATGTTAACTTACAATATCCAGTTGGCGTGTTAGGTCGTCGGGTTTTCCCCACCGTCTACAACTGTTGAGTAGGTTAACAAAGAATGTTTTGCGGCTAGCCTGATTTTGATTATACCAAAAAATTAAAATCTTGAGAGAGACAGGAGAATCTCTGATGATCAAAAAATACATAGGCTCTATTTGAGGCTCTTTTCTGAGCGCGTCGAATTCTGTGACAGCTGTGTCTACCGTCATGGATTTTTTTATATAAATTTTTCATTGTAAAACCTGCCAAAAATCGGTTAAGACCAAAATGCGACATTGTCGGTTTTGTCGGTGGTAAGAACCTTCTCGGCAGGGTGGAACGTTAGGACAACAAAATTGAAAAAACATTTTTTTTTCTTTGTCGGCGCTGCCCGGCTTTTTGCCAGCCCGCTTTGGCCGGGCGCCGACTTTTGCCCGCCCGATTTTTTGCCCGATTTGCCCGGACCCAACGTTCCACCCTGACGCTTGACGGAGTCAAAAATTTTTCGCGTTCGCTTCGATTTCTGCTCGACATTTGGGCAAAATTTGAATGTCTGAACTAGTTAAAATTTTCGCTCGAGCGTCGCTCAAATGTCGCTCAGATATCGCTCAGATTTCGCTCAGACCTGATAGGGAGAATATCCCTCTTAATGTTAGGCAAGAGTCGCTCTTGCCCGTAGCAAACGCCTGTGATCATTTCCGGTTACTTCCGGTGACATTAGATGACTTCCGGTTCACTTCCGGTGACTTCCGGTTCGCTTCCGGTTCAACTCTAGATCATTGCTATAAGTGTGCATCCATCCATATACCTTGCAAGAGCATAACTGAGCTGATGCTCGCTTGAAACAGCGCCATCTGGTGCATGCTCTCGCGCCCCATCTAGTGTCGGCTCTCGCGCCCCACCTAGTGTCAGCTCTCTAGCGCCACGTAGTGGACACTCATGAATAGCTCTCTAGTGACCTCTAGTGGGGACACACTAGCGCCACCTATGGTGAGCACAAAGCTTGAGATCTCATCCTGATTCATCAGTGACTGAGAATCGACTTCATTCGATGAAGGTCCTGGAACATTCTGGACACCCTTACTCACTATGACTCACGATTACGAAGGAGAATCATTTGGAGAATCTACTCGAATATTCCATCGCTGTTCTAAGAAGCTTGAAGATTCATCTATCCCGATCAAGGAGCTTCTCGACTGTTCTTATTTTCCCTTTTCTGTACTATATAAAGCGTGCACTTTGCTGTTAGTGGATTATTACAATTGAGTAGAATAAAACCGACAAAACCAACTTGACTCTCTTTTATCCAGCAGAAACCAGCAGTACCCGAAGAAGCGACAGCAAGTGCAGCATCAACCACTAGGACTCATAGAGTGCTAGTGGATCAGAGAGACCCCAGACATTCTTCTCCTTTAGAAGACCTCGCTCAGATCTCGCTCAAACGTCGCTCGCTCAGTCGCTCCGCTCGCTCAGCCGATTTTTGAAAAATCTCGCTCAGGCACTCGCTCGCTCAGCCCTCGCTCAATTCCCGCTCGCTCATCGCTCGCTCAAATTCAAAAATTTTTGGCAAAATTTGGAACCCTGCTTTCTGCTCTTTCGCCGATTTTAACAACAAGACATCTTCGGATCAAAGATTCCATCGCCGGGAAAAACACTTCTGCGGGTCTTTGCACTTTGCCTACGATGTTATTCATTGTTTGAAGCGCGTTTCTGCCAATAAATGGATGTCTTTTTCGATTTTACAAAGCTTTACATTCGTTTTTGCGATAAAATCTTTTTAAAATCGATCCTGAAAGTACATAACATCTGAAAAATGATTCCAAGCGCCCAGACATCTTGAGAACAAGAAACTTGAGCACTGTTTCCGTCAGTATTAATCATTTCAGGAGCCAAGTAAGGATCTGTTCCAGCAATTCCAGTCGTCATAAACGTTTCTTTTGATTCTCGCGAAATATTGAAGTCAGCGATTTTGACCTGAGTTAAACTTCAAAAAAAATTGTTTTTGAATACTCTTACTTGTTGTCCATCAGCAGAGAGGAGGATGTTTTCGGGCTTGATATCTCGATGCTTGATGTTTTTTCCGTGAATATACGCTAAAAGTCAAGTAAAAAAGGATTCTCTAGTACTGACTGACTCATCGCTAAAACCAGCTGGGCTGAGATTCGTAAAGCATCATTTTGAGCCCACGGTATCTTATTTGCAGTGCCTTCTACAAACAGGTCATCTCAAACGTCTGAAAGAATTGGACTGACCGTTGTTGAGCATTTTCTCAAAGAACTGAGCCAGATCACCGCCAGGCATGTATTCAAGGATCAAAGCATGATATCGAAGTCCATTTGGAGCGGTAAACCGAAAATCGTCCAGCAGTTTAACTACGTATTCGTGATCTTATTTTGTTTTCAATATTGAACTTTTTGCGTGGGATCATTTGTACATTTATCATAAATGATTTATGAGTGATAACTGGAAACGTTCCTAGTTGTTTGAGCAGGTTAATTTCTAAATTTGCGTCTTGTTCTTGGTCGGGTCCGAGAAGGCCGATTCCTTTTAGCATCTTCAATTCGTTTTCTGAAAGAAATGCGTTTTTTATATTCGTTTGAAGCGGCAATGTACTATTGCCGATATTCGAAAGAGGGTCAGTAACCAGTCGGTAAACCGGTCATTTCTTGAATTTATTAATAGTTACACCCACCATTCAACTGTATAATCTATCAAATAAAAGTTTTTGAAGCGCCAACCAGGCCCTTCGCAAACTTTCTAGCTTCCCCCGATAGAGAAAACTCAAAAACGGAATTTCCCGGAATTTCCAGATTTTACTGAAAGCTCAGAGCCTGAGTTTTCCAAATACATGAAAATTGACTACTCTTGAGCCCGGACGGGCATCAAAAAATAGTTTGAAGGAATCTAGTACCTATTTCGGGGCTTCAGGTCCCATGAATTGCCTTGCGGGCAAGACCCCTTGAAATGGCACCCAGAGGAAAGTACAAAAGCTGGGCTTTCTAAAACTGTGTCATATGACCACAGAAATAAGATAGAGATGGCCCATCTCAAACCCCATTCTTGCCCTTTACTCACCATTTTCCGTGTCTTGAACAACGTAGTAAATTTTCCCGAGTCTTGCCTCCTTCAGCTCTCGCAGCACCTTGTATTTCCCATTCAAGAGTTGCCCGATCAAGTCAGAATTCAAAGATGGCTCGGCTCCGGCTTGCTGTCTCCGGAAATCTTCCAACCCTGGAGCAGAAGGAGCTTGATCCGAAAATCCCTGGTTATTCCGATTTTTCTCAATTCTTGCGAAATTTTCATCGTTTTCGTTTGAACCATCAGAAGCGTATCCTCTAAAAGGCATGGAACGTCGGCAATCTCCGCCGCGAAAAAGCGTTTTTAGGCGCCGCATTGAAATCGAAACTCTCAGTACTTTTGGTGCTTTTGTGAAATTTCGGAAGAGAGAACGGGGCCTGCTGCGTTTGCTATTTTCATTAATCGTATTAAATTAGTTTCAAGATCGAGGGACTTTGTCGCGATGGAAGCCTAGCGATGCAAGCATCTTGTTTTTAACAATATAGAATAAATGTCAAATTAGGCTCAAATTTATGATAAAGAATGTAATTTTTCAGCGAACTTTTTTTGAAAAGAATAATTCTTAGCAAACTGACAAGCACATCGAAGAAGAATATTTTATGTAACCTTCAAAACAAAAATATTCTTCAAGGCTGTATTTTGATTCTAAGAGCGTCCTTGGGTCTAGGAAAATGCCAGAAAGTAGACGCAAAAACAAAAAATCTCGTTATACAAACAGCTATCTCCGGAAATTTCGCATTTTTTATTGCTCGCTATTTTCACCAAAAACCTCAAAACTCGGATGACTTTCATTTTTGATTTGTCCCACTGAAATCCCCGGAAAATGCTTATCCGATAAATTTGGAAAGAATTATAATTAAGAATTCACCATCATAAATGCAGACTTCGAACTTTGCCTGCAAATAGCGTTATTTACTAAGCATCGATTGCATAATCATTTCTTAAATAAAGTTGGCCCAAATTCAAGAAAACGTCGAATTTTGCAAAAAAAAATCGAGAGAAAGAAAAATGGGCGATATCATTTCGACGATTTCGTCAGCGATCACGTGGCCGAGTCTAGCACAAGTTTTATTTTTCGCCGAAGGATATCAGTTCTTTGCGCATGGACTTCTTCTCACTGGAGCGAAATGCATGCCGCTCGATTTCGTCGAGAAAATTGGGTGAAAAGCGATTTTTCTTTTTAATTATAAATCTTATATTTAGACTAGGCTTTATTCTCCACGATGTGGTAACCACAGCTTTTGCGTATAACTACACTCGTAAATTTCCAATCATCGTGGGGCTTCATATGCTCGAGCATCTTTACTTTTTGATTCGCTGGAATGTCGGCAAATTTTCGAGGAAATTTCAATACTGGGTAAGTAAGGGGTGCAGATCATTATTCAGAAATTCAGCGTTTATGATGAGTTTAACGTAGTGATATCCTTAATTCATTCTCTTTTTTTGAAATTCAAAGGAACTACAAGACTCATTATCTTTAATTGAAGCGGATTTCGAGCAGAAAAATAAGGGTGTCACTACGTTAAATCTTCGGTAGGCGATTCATTTTATCATTTAGGTCTCCTACGATTGGTTTCAAAACAACGGCTCAAGCGCGATTGAAATCTGGCTCGGAGTTTTCTACGACATGTCGACTCATATTTTCATGATGTATGCTCTCAAAGACGTAAATATGATCCAACCGTGAGCAATTCTTCGATCTCATTCTTAAGGAAGTCGGCAAAAACGACTTGATTGTCACTACAGCTGCCTGTGCGTTGATGTATCTTCTTATTCCGCCAACAGAGTAAGCCAAAATAAACCTGTTCAAGGTTTTCAAAAGAATTTCAGGGTTCTTCCTTTGGTCTCGCCCTCATCTGCTCCGGAATGGGTCAAGAAACGAGCATTTCAAAAAGAGGAAATTTACACCAACAAGAAACACCAATAAAAAACCCTTATAAAACCCTGAAATTTCATTCCTGATTCATTCCTTTCTCAAAAAAAAAACTCTTTCTGACAAATTTTTTTCTAATAAAATTCTGTGAAAAATATATTGCCGCTGTATTGAAAATTGAAAACGACAATTTTCCGCCTTTCTCCTCGATTTCTGACTTCTGAAGCGATTTGAAAAAATAAAGGAAAGAAAATACGATTTTGGAGAAAAAAGCAAAAGCTGGTGTTTGGGCAGGACCGGCGACTTGCGTGCTAAAGAAGAAAAATACAGAGCAAGAGAAATCTGGACAGCGCGCCGGAAGTGGACACTGATCATTCTGATTTGAGGTAGAAAAAAGGCTTGGAAGGGCTGAGAGAGAGGCGCGCTCTAACGGGGTAAGTACGGGACTTGATCATAAAACGGCGGGATCGAAAAGAAGAAGAGGCTTGTAAAGAATGTTGGACTAAAGGGTGGTGTCTTGAACCAAAAAATTCGACAAATTTTACTTGGGCGGCTACTCGGCTTCTGTTTGGCCGGTCAGCCGAATCCAGGCTTCTGATTGGTTCAAACTTTTTTGTCGGTTCCAGACGCCTCTCCGACTAATTACCGATCCAGGTCAAATAGTTAATTTTTCTTATTTAAACAATGATTTATTTTGATGAAGAAACAACAGAATAATAATAAAACTCTAAGGAAGATATTTTCAAGGTAATTAACGGAGACCAACAAAAATAGGTAGGTCAGTCATTTTAAATAAATAAGCTTAAGACAGCTGCTAGAGCTTCAAATTCAAGCTGAATAAGGCTTATTCGGCCAGATCAAAGTACAGTGGACCAAGTATCAAATTAAGAGGCGCATATTTGTATAACAGGTACAGTGGATTAAGAGCACCTTTGTCTGCAGATTTAAGGATAAACCTCAGAGGGGAGCACGATTGTTTCAGAAATGTGATGATTTAGAAAAAGGGTTTAATTTTTATTTTGAAATCACGTTTTTTTGTTGAAGAAATTTAGGGTTATGGTATTCTTACCAATAAAATGGACGGGCTAAAATTATATGTAGATTTTATTTTGCAATTCAGCCAATCAGCCGACAGAATGCTACCCATTCTTTCCCATCCGATTCGTCTACTCGACAGATAAAGGCTTTTGATTGGCGTAAAATTTACATAAAATTTTCCTGAAACAAAGCTATTATGACTCGTGTTTATATTTTGCTTACTATCCAAGAGAATAGTATTCCCGATAAAAGACTAACCGCTAGTAGCGGTTACCGCTACTGTTTTTACAGGAAAAATTTCATATTAGTTTTAAGCCAATCAAAAGCCTTTATATTGCGACAAGATGAATCAGAAGGCAAAGAGTAAGTAGCATCCTGCCAGCTGATTGGCTGGCTTGGTAAATGAATTCTAGCTTTTGATTGGTTGAAATCTTCATTTTTTTTATTCAGCTCTGAAGATTACTGTTTGAATTAAAAATTATTACCAGACTTAAACTCCTGTAAAATTTCATGAATAATTGTACTCGGCGAACAGTGGCTTTAGAGATAAAATGATAAGCCTCGGAAGAGTGCGAGAAAAAGATTTAACGGAAGGTGAAACCCCAACGTGACACTAGGTTCAATTTAGGCCGAATCGCGGCAGAGATTTGCTTCCGATTTTAGGCTAAGTCCTTTAGCGCTTCTCATCGACTGCGAAGCCGCTTTCGACTTTGCGATTGATTCCGGCGAAGCGGGTTGAAACGAGTCCTTCCCAGCCTCGACAAATTGCAACACGCTTTCGATCGAGTAGCCCCCAAGCAGGAAGTCCTCGTAGTAGACGCGGTAGATCTCTAAAAATTGGTTCGCAAGCTGCATCAAGCGCTCAAGCACATTGACAAGTTCATGCATCATCACATGCGGCTTTTGTTGATGGTAAATTCAAGAGGGGTTGATATTTTGTGTTAGAGACAGATTATACCAGAAGCCGCAAAATTCTGTTTCACATTGAAAATTGTGCTAAACTTTGTATTTTTAGTAAAAAAATCAGCGCCATCATTTAAGAGAAATATCAGCCAATCAGAGCCGCTTAAATATTCCATAGTCTATGGACCAGGGCTGGCAAATTAGGGTCCCGCCAGCCGCACTAATTTGAGTTAGAACCCTATTGTTAGAACCCTAACTCTCATTTTATAACTTTTTAGTGCGAGTAGTACGAGTTGGAAAAAGCCGCACTAAAATCGTCCTAAAAGAGGCGCGCGCTTATTGGTCCGCCAATCATGGCGGGTCATTCGTTTTTCTTATCCATTCAGCTCCATTCTTTTTTCAATCTTCCACCAATTTGTCCTCCGCGCCTGGTGGGAATCGCGCGCCGATTGGATGATGAAAAAGAGCCTCCTAATTAGTACGGTTAGGGCGGCGATTCAGTCCTAATAGACGAAAAAATATCAAGGAAAAAAAATGGGACGGGTAGGACGGGGATGCCGCACTAATTCGCACTAATTTTGAGTTAGAACCCTAACAATTTTTCGGTAGTGCGGCTGTTAGGACCCTAATTTGCCAGCCCTGCTATGGACCATAGATAATTTTAATTTTTTGATTGGTTATTGACTTGTTCACAGCGCCATCTACGGCGAAAATATTTGGTTACAACTTTTCTCTAAAAGAATTTTGAAAAAAAAACAGAAACAGCGCCACCTGTTTAATAATGTAGGCCAATCAGAATAAAAAAATCCAAAAAAAAAATTATTTTTTCTGATTGCTTTTTATGAAAAATAGGGTAGAAACAATTTTCAGAACAGATTTTTATGGAAAGGGTTTTGATTGGCTGGTAGGCCAAATACAGCAATCTTATTGGTAATACAAAAATTCACTTCCAAAAATTGGTTTAGTCCAAAAATAAATATAAAAAGGCTTGAATACTGCGAAAAATGAGCCAATAAGAACCTTGTATTGGCTCTTTTGGCCAATCAGCTTCTTAATACCGGAAAAACTAACAATTATTATGCTTAGCGAACCATCCCTTGAATCGTTTTCTTCGGAACATTTTGCCAATAGAACTCAGGTCCATTTTTCTTGAGCGGGGACTTGGAATACTGCCCTTTAGTCCGAGTTCTTTCTTGATTACCGCTAATTATTTTGTCACGTTTTGAATTGAATACTAATTAATCAAATTCGCTGATTGAATCGCGTGAGCGTCAACACGAGCGGCGAAATCAACTGTTTTCGAAGTATAATTTATTATGCCGTATTTGGGATTTATTATCGACGCGGTGATCCGATAAACATCCATCGTCTTGAGTGGAGCTTAATTGCTCCACGAATCATTTTAAACACGCTTAGCTAATCTCTTCATAATCAGATTTTCAAAAGAAGCAGGAGTCATGAAATCAGGATTTTTTTTAATGCTAATATAGTGATACCCTTATTTAAATTTATCAATAAGAAGATCAAGCAGTTTTTGTCTTCTTTTGAACGTTAAAATATCTGATACTGACCAAAAATTATAGAAGATTTTCAGAAAAAAATAGGATAAAATAATCCGAATTTCTGAATTTCAAGTGCAGGAATAAGTGCAGCGGCTCGAGTCGACAAAGATTCGATAAATATTTCTTTTTCTAAAATCTGACTTGCCTACCGCCTAAATGCGGGCATCTTATTGGATTAAATTTTAAACTTAAAAATTGACCAAAATTGTTGTATTATTTTTCGACTCGTGACATCTCGCCAAAAAAATTTTAATAGGAAAATTAATAAGGGTGTCGCTACCAATTTTTAGGAAAAACTTGATGAAAAATTTTGTTTCGTGATAACTCCTGTGATTCAAAAACCCGTACTTCTTCTTGGAAGGCTACTGTATTTGGGACAACGTTTCTATTGAAGATTGAATTCTTGATTGAAATTGGAAGCTACGGGAGCAGAAATACAACGAGCTCTCAAACCTTTGTAACAAACACAAAAAAAACCAAGTGGATTAGCTCGACCCCGCCAAGAGTGTATACTTCTCTTCTAAAGTAGATAGAAGAGGCGGTTATGAAATTCTGGGAGATGAACAAAACTCATAATATTTTGAACAAGGCCCAAAATGGAAGCATAATCGAGCCACTAAGAAGCTATTTACAGTAATGACAACTAGAAGGGTTGACATCATTCTTCTGAGAACGAAAAGTAGCTTTTAAAACATTTTTTATATAGCTTTTTGATTGGTGAAAACTGATTTTTTCTACACAAGACTTCCTTGATAACAATTTTCTCCATCGAAAACTCTGATTGGCCGACCGCGGAGTCAAAGTTCTTCTGGTTGAAAAATCGACCAATCAGAGCTTCGGATGGAAAAAATCATAATCAAAGAAGCTTTCAGTAGAAAAAATTTGTTTTGACCAACCAAAAGCTCAGAAAAAATCTTTACATTTATTGGTATTCAGAACTCTTTCCTGGAATATGCGTGAATTGATCGACTCCAATTTCCTTGAGCACGAGCGGCCCTTCTTCTGTTGCATTCTCAAGTTGAGTAATGAGCTCATAATTCAAGTGGCAGGGCGCGCAGTGCCAAAAGAACGACTTCCAGTGCCAATTAAAGTCGGCTTGATCTTTGCTGTTGGCGATGTACTCGATAAACGCCTCTAACGAGCGGGTCTCGAAAAGAAGCGCCTTATCAGATTTTACTTAGGTGACGCTTATCGGCGACCCGATTCCGAAAGTAACATTCCGCGTGTGGTCGGGCGGATTCGCAGCGTCCTCAAATGGCGCTATCTGATTGAAGTAAACATCGTGGTACTTTTTCACATGTTCTTTCCTTTTAAAAGGGTTTAAACTTTTTAAAGGGCAAAGCTAGGGTAGCTTAGCTGCCTGCTTAGCTAAGCTTTCTAAAAAAGGGTAAACTTTGCTTAGCTAAGCCAAAATTCCTAAAAATGGGAAATTTAGCACAGCTTAGCTAAGCTTTGGTTTAAATCTGTTATCTTGGCTAAGCTGAGCTAAATTTTTATCTCTGCTTACCCTTGAAAAGCTTAGCTTACTACTGCTAAACGAAGAATTTGAAA